ACATTACTGAATTTTCCGTAATGTATTGGGCAAAATTGCTTCCTGTACTGGCTGCCTAATTTTTAATAAGTTTATACCACATCTGGAAAAGTATGAAAAATGTCAGTACTTTTTAATTTTAGCTCTGTGATGTATAATGCAGAGAACTACTTTGAAGAGCCAACGCTAATCCGAGGTGAACTGGAATTCCTATAGTAGTCAGATTTTTAATTCGTAGAACATTTTTCGTTAAACTTTTTTTTTAATATTGTACCAATATATAGCTAAGAAAGTATGAGGCATTTCAGCACTGGATAATTTCAGTACTCTTATATGTACCGCGAAAAGATGACTTTGAAGATCCAACATTAATCCTAGGTAGACTGAAATCCCCGAAGTTGTGAGGCTTTTGATTCTCAGAAAATTGTCATTAAACTTTCTGATATTTATTAGTGAATGTGGATGACGGAAAAACAGTAATCGGAAACGTTCAAAAACTCTGGGGAAAAAAGCGCTGAAAATTACTCATGAAGTAATCTTGTATTCCACGAACCCTCATCAAGAAAATAATCGACTGGGAGGCAAACAATTGCGCGGGGAATTTCGCACGGAAACATTTTAGCATCATTAAACACTTGCATGAACTTGTTGGCAAACGAAGCACCCTAGTGGAAACCAGTGCCAATAAACTAATGGATTGGCGAGCAGAATCTCATTATACTTGCTCCTAAAAAAAATCCTTCATTTTGGCTGCTGCTAGAAAAAGCAGTGCTGCACTTTTCTCGAGTCTAATGGCGCGGAAGAATAAGTAACTTAATCTTGGGCCAGAATCTATAAGAGGAATGGGGGGGGGGGGGTTAAGCTTTACTAAGACATTTTGAATTTTATTTTCTTACTTTATTTATAATCGTCTATATGCTGGGAACCCAGGGTTCTTCATTGTCTGTGGTATCTCGGTGAATGGGTTTCTCCAGGGGCATGCTGATGGTGTGGTCCGGATATCTGCAGCAGACCGGATGTGAATGAATGTGGAAGGAAAAGGACCCCCTCAGGGCCTGGGGGTACTTGGCAGAGTGCCAGCTTGCTGCTGCAGCTGCACCCCTCCGGGGCCTTGTTATATATATTGAGGTCTTCTTCCTTTTTTTTTTACTTCTTTTAATTTTTTTGGACTGTTTGCGATGACGAGGGCAGGGTTCAGAAAAGTTTTGACATGAACCAAATGATCCGTCATTTCCTGTCTGAGTTCGGCGCAATATTTGGGAGCTCTGTGAAGGTTTCAGAGAGTAACTTTTTTTTTTTTACTCTGCGGGCGATGTGACGTTGAACTTGTGAAAAGTTTGTGATTTCTTGATTTAAAAAATCTATGTATGTATGTACAATATATTTCTTCGACATATTGATTTTGACTCAGCGAGAGAATCGATTTTTTCTCGCTTGTCTCGGTATATTCCTGCATGCTGGAGAGTCGGATTTAAAGGACTTGACCACATATAGGAAAAAATTGGTCAACAATTGACAGAAAGTCTTCCAAAAGTCTGCCAAATTGAGTAAACCTCGCCTTTCTTATACTTTCCTGCTCAGGAATATGAGCGATTTTTTTTATTAATTTTATTGAGAAGGAAATGATTTGTTAATTACGTTTTGAGTTTTGGACAATATTTGATGGCAGCAGAAGTTTCAGAACTAACTTTTTCCCCGCTGTCGATGTCACAACTAAAAGTTGTGAAAAAGTTTCAGGTTTCTTGATTGAAAAATATAAGGGGATATATTCTTGCAATTTCGACAGGAGGGAATATGTTTTTTGTTTTCTTCTTCAGTATTCCTGAAAAATCCCATTTAAATATCCGTCGAAAGTAATAATAAATTACCGAAAGCCACCTGAAATTCTGCTAACTTTAGTCATTTTTTCATTTATTTTCAATGCCTTCTCAAGAAAATTGGCGAATCTTTTCAAAATGAATGGAGGATCTTTTTTGAGGTTTCGCGGAATGTTTTTCAGCTGCAGTTTTATAATTAAAGTTTTTTCTTTAATGGTCGCGTCAGTAAAATTGTAAACAAGATTATTGATTAATAGTTGAGAAGTCTCTCATGGATTTGAAGTGAATAAATTGTATTCCTTATTTTCATCCTTCAGTATTTTAGTGAGAAATGGCGTTCCACAAGGAAATTTAAATCAAGCATTGAAAGTCTCTAGATTTTCTCCAAAATGTGATTCTTCTTCGCCTTTTTTCATGCCCGCTTCCAAAAAAATGACGCAGAAATATCTACGTTTTTTGTTAATTCTTTTTTAAAGAATTTATTTTTTCATGACTTTTCTTTCCCACTATTCCTGAATTCTGTGAAGCGCAGCACACGTGTATATATGCATACATTCAGAAGTTTGACCTTGGCACAGATTAGCAAACTTTTGGATGCTCCAGAAGCATTTTACTCGATTTTCTCCCGTTAATCCAATTATTCCATTGTTTCTGCCATTTCTTGTTACAACATTAAGCTAATGATGTATAGAGATTGTGTATGGGCAGCATACGGTTTAATCTCTTTGTTTTCAGTCTTGGTGCGAGCGATTGTAATTTGCTGTAGGTATGAATCAAGATCCAGTGAAAATTCATTGAATTTGTACCCTGCTTTCTTGTTCAGTTGAATTATAATTGGATATACAGTACTGTACTGTAGATCTCAACGCAGCAGCCGATATGCGATTGTGCAAAATAAATTTGCTACACCGTATATATGTTGTAGAAAAGCACACTATTTGTCAGTATTGTACTTTTGACGATTTTCGATCATTTCAATTTTCAGTAACACTATGCCGAAGTACTTCAGCAACGCCATAATTATGTCAAATCGGCATGACTGGTTGATTTAATTTTTTTCATGCTAAATCTAGTAAAATTCTCGAAATTCATTATTAAAACAATTTGCATTTTGGATGTTTTCTTGATGTTCTTGTTATTACCATTATCAAAATGTATCAATTTCACACAACATTCTGGGTATTTTTTAAAGGCATAATTTTTGAATCTAACATTCACTTCTCTCATTACAATAAAGCTTGAAAAATTTTACTCAAAAGAATATCACTGAGTATACAGTACCGTAATAAAAAAAACTACTGTATACTGTACATGTCAAAGGATTTTCACAGGGAAAACCTTTTTGTTCTTTTTTGTAAAAATTGGCTTATTTTTTTTAATTGCTATTTTCTGGATCGTATGTTCTAACTAACGCATCGGGAAAAACGCAGGTTTGAATGAAAAAAATATGATTTTAGAATAAGAACATTCGAATTGCTGTAGTATTGTAGTGTTCTCGTTGTAAACAATTTTTCAAGGGATCCTGCAAATTTGTTTTAATAATGATGTGTCACCGGCTCCCCTGAGTTTGCGGACGTTTCAAGTGAGGAAAATTAATATTACTTTGCACAAAAATCCGCAGGAATTTCGCAGGTGATTTCCCGGAAATACCGCCTGAAATTCGAACGAATATTCCTCGTATGTCCGTAAATACATCGCAAAAGAAGTAACTTCCGAATCAATAATGTACAACACAAGTGCAGAATGGGGAGCACATGCATACTTAATTACTGCTACGCGGTCAAAAGGCGAGATAGGGAAACACGACGGCGGTGAACTTGGCTGGGGTCTTATCGATTATGCCCTTTTTTTATGCTATTCGTGTATAGTAAGCAAATCGAAAAGTATATAAAGGTATATTCTGGGTCAACCCCGAGACGAAGCACAATAAGAAACATTTTGTTAGATCAACTATAAAGAAGAAGAGAAAACGATACAAACCACGGACAGGAGCAAAACTGAATGGCGTTATCGATTACTGTTCTCCACAGATTCATGATTTTATCGATTTCAGGAATACTTTCACGTTGGTATTCCAAGTATGACGGTGAGGGAGACGTTGAGATAAAATACCGAAAGCCCCGGGAATATAATTTCGAAATTGAAGAATGTATATATACGAGCTGCGTCTCGTCGTGGAAATGGTTCTTATCTTTCAAGGTCTGGATTTCTGAATGAAATCTCTCCAGCACGAATAAACGAAATCTGAGAATATCTCCACCATATTTCACCACGAATGTTTGAAGATTGGAAGCACTTTTATGTGCTTCCCTCCGAAATTCTAGTCAATAATTTAGTGAATTTATGGTGCTCAGTAAAGATCCGTGGATAATATATCATACAGTACCGTTTATATGTCCGGAAATATTCGGGGCCAATATCTGTTTTCCATAACTTATCTTCAAGACTCTACTGTACTTCCTTTTTCGAAATCAAGCTGGAAATTTCCTTTTAACGCTTCGTTTCAGTTCATCCAAGTGCGCGAAAACCCAATTTCAAGAGGATAAAAAATTAAAGACAAAAATAGCACGCCAAATTCCATCAATTTTCATGCGTTGTTTTATTTTTTAAAAAGCATTCAAAAATATAATGGTGTTTTGACTCGATTTTTTGTTTTCATTATTGAAAAAAAAATGGTTTTATGCTCGAAAAATGGGCCATTAATTGAGACAATTATTAAAATCCGGAACAACTTTTCGCTCTCAAAGAAAATTATTTTATCTGCATGCAGACTTTCAGATAAAATTATAAAAAATCCACGAAGATTTATTTCTGAAAAATATTCAATTTATGATGAAAGCTGGTAATAAATGTCTTGTAGTAATTTCATCAAGAAATTCTAACTCCTGCATATCACTGATGGATAACGGATTCCAGCAATCAATTTTTAGAACACAATTTTAAGAGAATGTTTGTACACATTATCTCGTCTTCGTTTGAAAGAAATATGGTTGAATATCGTTACAACAAATAATTAAATGTAATTGCCGTAATTTTCTGGCAACTGTACAAATGTTTATTTCGCGTCTCAATTGATTCGTTGTTACGATACGAAACTTGAAGGCAATATCCTGAGAATGAGGTAAGTGTAACCGGTTTTGTTTGTCAGTGAGCCTTTTTTTCACGGAATTCATGAATTTGAAAATTTCTTTATTGTTCCAACAGGTTTGATGAACAAAAACCCGAGTGAATTTTCGGAGGCAATCATGTGAGAAGACGCATTAAGACGCGTTAACCTTCTTTAACCGTCCTGGCCTCTTTCTTCTCGCGTAAAATAAATAGACTCCTCTTTTTTGGTGCTCATCACTTCTGGTCTAACGGAAAGGGGGAAATTATGATCGCTGGGATCATGAGGACGTCATTAGTAACAAGACTTTCGTTGTCTTGTGCATTGCTTTCCTGTTTGTTTTGTTTGTGGATGGATTTCCGGCTTTTTCTTGCCGTGCAAAGCCTCAAGAGCTTCCCGGACAATAGTAGCAGACCGGACGAAGCTTACTCCCCGTTCAAGCACATCACGGTCAAGCTCATGTGGATGGACCCCATCAATCAGTACATTGAAAAACCGTTGGCGCAGAGTTTCGTTCAGGTCCGATTAATTGAGATGATTATTGTTGTTATCAATAGACACTGCTCAGCCTCGAATAAGTGACTTTTGAAGGGTTTTTTCCTCGGCGAAACTTTTTTCAAATCTTGAAAAGGCGACTACGGTGCTGACCAACCAGTTTAAAAGCGACCGTAAAAAGCGTTCTCTGATCCTTATCTGAAGTTTGAAGTTTTTGCTGCGATGAACTGTGAAGATTTTTTAGAATTTTTCTGTCTCTGCATTGATTTATCACTTGTGCAGTTGTGCACTGAGGTTTTTATGATTTAGCGTGTACATATTAAGATTACAATTCCTAAATAAAATCAAGGTTTTTTTCCCGCAAATGTAGGATTCGCTTGATATATTATTAAAATTCTTTCTCTGATGTATTGCTCGAAAAATTGAAACTACTGTGTAGACTATCGTCATCTAATGTGTTCAAAACTCCAAACCGAACCTGAAAGCCATCTGAAACGTTTAGCTTTTAACGCAAAAATCACGAGAGCTCAACACTACTGTAATTTGAAATTGCTAAATACCTCGAAAAAGATAATTCCATCGTATATTGAAGCAATGATTATTCCTTTTGTAAGATTTAAATGAACAAATGATTTTTAAGCATTGAATACATAGCATCATACATGTACGTAAATCGGAATCAACGTTATTTTTTATAGTTTAATTCTTTGAAAAGACCAGAATATTGACGGGCAGTCGTATTTTATAGTTTCGTTATCATGACTAATCCTTTTTTCTTTTCGTTAAATTCGTGTGCTTTCATTATCTGTCTAGCTTTTGCTTCCATTTTGATAAAACGAAGATCGTCGACCTACTTATTTTTAAATAATAAAATTGTTTTTTGGGCTAATTTTGTAAATTTTCGCCTTTTTCAAGTTGAACTAATAGAATGCATGGAGTTGAAAATATCCCATGAATATGTGGAATTTATAGATGTTACGTATACTGCACAAACCACTTTTTACATTTTCTAAGTACTGTTTTTTCAGACTGTCTAAATATAGCTCCTGATGAAGTCGAAAAATATTTTCATTGACGATGCCTCAAATTTTAAAATATAGTATTTTACAGCATTGTCAAATGGAGAATGCTTCGGGAATTCCTGTGTATGCAGAATAATGATAACTGTGGATAAAAAGAATTCGCTTTGTAAGCAAGAAGTTATTCAAGTCTAGAATCCCGTTCAAGAAAATAATTCTTGATTTCTTGCTTCCATTTTTAATTTGTTCTATAATCTGACAGTGAATTTTGGCGAGTACTGTATTCCGATTCAGAAATATCATGGATTATTACTTCAGTCGAATAACGGCACTGACGCAACTTTTGAACCATTCCTTTTCCATGTTAACTAGTAAAACCGGGATTGAACGGTTCCACGTACTGTATTTGAAAATTCTATTTTGTTCGACTGATAAAAAAAGAAAACTGGTATTGATTCTCAAAGGGGGCGAAGCTGAGGGAAACTCTGCCATTGTTGACGCCGAATGTGATCAGTTGCACGCACGTTTTCGTCGCCTTTGCAGCTGCTCGTCTCACTGCGAAACGTGGTTTCCAGGTTAGTATACAAATACCTGTACAGTACTGTACTTCCCTATTAAATCTGCGTGCCAAGAATCAGAAAGCATTTTAAATAACATTTTTTACCTCAGATTCGATCAATTTCTAGAATCCCGCAAGTTTTTCCGCCCTAATCTTGGATGAAACGTTGCATTTTGCCATGTACTATAATAGAGCAATCGCTTACGATTAAATTGTTACCTAAGCTTTTTTCTTCATAATTGAGCTTTTTCTTACGATAATAATGTGCCATCATATCTCGACGAAGGGATCACAACATATATATAAATTTAAACTATAGAATTTTTCGTATTCAATATTCTTCTTAATTCGTGGAAGGGTATTCTTTTTTAATGATTCAATAAATCACGCGATCTGCAATTTTTTTTGTCTTCTAACCTACAGTACTTGAATGTAAATATGTAAATTGCTTGTACAGCCTCTACACTTTACAGTATCATATCAGAGGGATTGAATGCAATTTTGATCAGCTTAAGTTGAAGTGAATCTATAACTATGGGACATACCCATATATACATTATTCGCGGTTATGTGCTTTGAGATAATGAAGAGACAATTACTTTACTGTACATTGGTTTTTATCCGTGATACAGGCGACACCTACTCGTTAATACCATAATTACTCACGCATTTACCACGTGCTTGTGCGTATCACTCACTGCCCGAAGAGGGAACAACAGCATCAAAAAATGTTCCAGCTGGGCTAATCTTTTCTTGGGCAATGTTTCAGATGTACTAATAAAGTAATGTACAGTATTTTCAAATGCAGAATGTTTTGGGTGTACAATTTAAAATTTTGTGAGAAAAAATGTGAGGAATCATGAATTGTGGAGAGAACTTGGGCCGAACCGGGAAAGTTCTCCATTTTTGACGAGTGCACTGAAAAAAATATGTTTCAAATCTGAAAAATAATTCCAATTCAAGAAGTATCATATAAGAAAGTTTTATCATCTTTGCATTTTTATTGAATTCCAACAAGTTTGAGGCATTTTTACCATTACTTTTTTGCAGGTAAGATAAACGCAATAAAAAGTTACAATTTATTTAGAAAGGAATTGAAGTACTAATTGGGCAAATGGACCCTTGCAGCCTTGAAGTTCAGGATCCTGTCAACTCATTTAAGACGCAATTCAAGGCCCAGAATATTAAATGTTATAATTCCTTGCAATTTATTCCATCTTTCCCACAACAAAAATGCGTTTTTCCTTAATTAACTAGCATTTTTTGCTGGTCTGGTGATACAGTACTGTATTTGGATTTTAGAGGTTTGACTATACTGTATAGCAGTGTTCCCCAACATGTGGACCCCAAAGTTTTTTGCCAGTCTATGGGAAATTTTCAGCATACTACTGTATGTACATTTTTTAAAAGTAGCACTGAACTCTGTTATCATTATCTAAAAGTTTGGAAAGCCAATGGAGTTGAAATCATTTGATGAAAAATAAAAGTTGGCGTTTCCCCTAATAACATTTCAAACGCATTTTCACCTGATAAAATAAATTATTTAAATGTTTCATTCTGAGAAACTCATCTTGAAGCCCATCTTTCTGAGTTTTTGATGACATTCAGCTATAGCTGCTTCATATTCATATAAGTGATAAAACTTAATTTTTGGAATAAGCAGAAAATTTCATATACCTGCCATAAACTCTATCAGGCAAACTGTTTTCAAGTCTATAAACATTTTATGAAACTTTGCCGGTCTGCAAAAAATTCTATGGAAATTTGCTGGTCCGTGGACCCAAAAATGTTGGGGAACACTGCTGTATAGTATAGTATAGTACTGTACTCAAAACCCCGAAATTGCAGGTTAGGTACGTGGCGGGTACCCTGATGTTGGTCCGCAATTTCCTGGACACAGTCGACGGGGCCCTGGCCCGGGAAATCTCCAAGAACCACCAGATGACAGACTACGGGTCCTTTGGCTATTTTTTCGACGGCGTGTGCGACACCGCCGGGATCGTGTTCTTCTTCCTGGGTTGCGTCATGGCACTCAGGGTGCTGGCCACTAAACGAGGTGCACTCGCGGGTTCCGAAGGCAGGCTCGTTTTCGACGAAATGCCGGACGTGAACCCCCACGTGGCCGAGATGCACCGGCAAATCTGGGCCGTCATGTGGTGCTACGGGGTTCAAGTCATCGTGTCTTCAGTCACGTGGAACATATACATGGAGCGCTTCCACAATTTGCTAGAACTGGGTTCTGGCTCTCAACAAGCCAAGGTTTCCAATAATTCCCTTTACAGTATTTTTTTTTTTTATACTCACCTATACAGTCAAAGCAAACCTCGATCGATAAACTGGCATCATTTGTTTGTGGTGGGGTGACGATGCCACCATTATAAAATTTGTATGTTGATGAGAATCAAGTTGGGTTTTTCATCGTGGTTGAAAGATGTGATCATCAGGGTGCTGCTGACGATATTGACAGACGAAGAAATTGACAAACTTTCGCATCGGAAACTTTTAAATCATTCAATCATGTACGGCTAATGGCAGGAACATTTTTAGATAAGTGGGTGCTGCAACTTTTGAATCAATCCTATTACCTGTTTAATTATACTGTTGACTGGGGAAAATCTTTGTGTACCTTATTGATTCCCTGACGCTTTATTTTTCTTACGGATTGGAGGAGGAAAAGTTTCGGATCAGTTAATCATTGACACGTTGTTTTTCGAAAAGTTTCGGGATGAATGATTGATTGCTACGACTCATGGCATTGAGAAAATTACGCCTGAGAATTTTATTTTACGGTATTTTCGGAATTTGTCGACATTAAAGAGCTATGTTAAGAAAAACTGGGGGAATTTCGTCAGCGAAAGCGTCGTTATTTCGTCGGTGATAATTCTGGCGATAAAATCCAATGCAATTAATTTTGCACCATCTTTTGTGACGTCATCAAAAATTATAAAATATTATAATTTTGAAGCAAAAACGCGGGTTGTTTTGTGGCCATATTGTATTTATGTCGCCTCAAAAAATATGAGTTTTAAAATTGATTTCAATTTTTACAGTTAATGCAGCTGAGAATTGCGCAGTCGGCTTCATTTTGGGCACTTTCATACTGCTGGAGGTTCCTGAATGCTCCAATTCTGCAATACTACATGCTTTTTGCATTTTTCATGGACAAACTTTGGGTTCGTATGTGAATCAGGATTTTTGTGCATATTTTTTTACTCGATGCTCTTTTATCCTAATTGTGTATTATTGAACATTTTCGGATGTTATAATTCAATTTCTATAATTGAATCACGTGAGGAATCGACGAAAAAGTTGATCGATTAATGTTGAAGAAAATAATTTTGCCCAGCGTTTTATAATTTTCCTCATTTTATTTTAGCTCAGTTTTCCCTCCTCGGCCAAGAATTCAATAATTAAAATATTTTTCGGAGGTTTTTTCTAAAAAAAAATAATAATAATAAGTAAAGCCTCGATTCTCTTATGGGATCATCCTTTTGCTTTTTTGGTCGAATATTGTTGCATCACAAATGATCATCTAAAGTAAAAGATTTTACATGTACTGAAAGATGGCCTATGTTTCTTATTTAAATTATTAGATACATTCTTCAATAAGTGCTGATCGAATCTCAAAAAGCGTCGTCGCAGATTTCCTAATGAACTTTTCTTATCAATTTTCCGATTTGTGATTTTTTTTTAAATGTCTGATCGATACTTAAGCATGTTATTTTTTCACGCATAACTCGTATCGCACATAAATTCAAAAGTCAATGTAAAGAGAACAAAGCTTCTCAAATTTCAAAAACTGCGCAGGCATTTTTTTTTGCATGATCGGCATCAAGTTAAAATCCTGACACAAGGTATTATTCTACATCGAGTTTCGATTTTTCTTTAATTTTGATAGTACAGTATTTTCAGAATACAGACCGAGATTTTTAGATTTCCATACGAGGTTAGACAGTATTTATTCCTGAACAAAAACAGCTTTCATCTAAATGAGACCCTTTTATATATTGCAATGAGTATAATAATTAGGCGTCCCTCATTTGCGATTGCAGATACAGCAGTATACGAATGATCAAAAAGTGTTCCTTGATTACGCATTCCAGAAATAAGAAAAATGCGTCATATCGTAACCCGGATTCTCCTTAATTGCTTATGCCTGAAAATTCGCAGGAGTTTGTGACAGCAGTGCGTTACTGGGGATTCGCTTTGATCTTCGGATTGGTCCTGTGCACGGAATTCTATCTATGGGCAGCTGCGTCATCAGCAACCCTGGCCGAAGCGACATCTAGCTGAGAGCTTTTCATGTAGTTTTGCTCCTTCTATGAAGAGAGGATAATGAGGAAATGAGTACCAGCAGGCTTTTCGTGCCGCTTGCACAAGGTTTTCTACTTTTGCGTTGATGATATGACGAGCTTGAAATGATGGACGTGGATTACAACGCATTACGTTTATGCTGTCGACCCCATCCCGTGGATCCCACTTGATCTCCCACATTTTCAGCATGATGATGAGCAATTTTATACATTCTGTGGTCGGAAAAAAATAGGCGAAAAAGAGCGGAGAAATATTCATTTTTATTCCGGTGTCCGTGCGTCGGAAATTGTTTTGTTTTTCTCTATGATAATTGCGAATGATTCTGTACGAATCCGTGTGGAATCGATTTTCTCTATCGTGGCATTTTCTGTGGGTCGATATTTTTATTTTATCGTGGGCACCAAGTATTTATTGTTGGACTTTGAATTTTATTTATGCTGCGTATGCTGTGTGCTCAAATGAAATTGATCAGCCACCGAGAAATATTTTCAAGTGATGAAAAGAGTTACAAATTTTGCCACCGCCCGGGGAAATATGATTCCAGGAAATTAAAAAGCAATGTTTTGAAAAATGCATCGAATTTTTCGACTTATTTCTCCTTGTAAAGAAACATGCAGAATTTAGTAGAGATTTTTCTCGTGTTCTCTTCGAAAGGAAAGTTGTGTTAGAAAGTTGTCAGTAATTGAATGCATGTAAACATGCGGGTTTTTAAGCTGGGGTCCATTTACCAGCAGTACAGTATTATAAAAATGGCAGAGTGAACTGGGCTCAGGCTATACGCCATTTCTTCTATTGACTTCGAAATATTTATCACGCATTGCATGCGATTTTATTAAAATGCAAGAAAATAATGCTGAAAAAAATCCATGGCTTTTTCTAAAAAAAAAAAACGTGTTCTTCAACCGCTGTCGGTTCCCTCATTTTTCGACCTAATTTGAAACTCATGATTTACATGACTAAAAAAAACTACTCAGTATTATAAAAAAGGATTAAAAGAAACGAATAATTTATAAGAAAAATACAAATTCAGAAAATTTTCAAAGTTTACTTCGAAGCTCCATCGAGCTTTTTTCAATTGGACGGATTTTCCATTTTCCCTGAAATAAATGCAAACAAAAAATTCACGGAACTTCAGATGTGCAATAATTTCCTGTTGGAACTAGAAGAATGATCATGCTTCATTGATAACAGCGCATTTCTGAGTTGGATTATAAATTTGAAACGTTGGAAATAAATTTGAAATTATCGATTCATTTGTACACGTAATTGAATTATTTTCAAATTTGTTGAGATAGGTTCCAATCGAAATACGAAGTTTTTTCTTTATCTTTAAAACGCAAGAGTGTTCACTTCATTTTTGCAATACAAGCTTTGTTTGCAATTTTTATATTTGAGATTTTCTTATTTACGTGTACAGTTAGAGAAAATGCGTATAATGTGTATACAGATGGACTCCCCCAACAACGAAATTCAAGCGAACAGAAAAAAATCGTTGTAGAAAAAAAAAATATTTTTACGGATGAAATTTTTTATTTTAGAAAAGATAATTGCAGAGAGGGAGTCCACTTGAATAATAATTGGAAGGTAATAAACAACCCGATTTAATGCGGAAATAAGCTTTGGTCGAAATGCTTAAATCGAGATCGCGTATATAGTTGAATTATATTTATACATGATGACGGGTTGTTATTGACTACCAGCTGCAGCAGCAGTTCTCATATCCCTTGGAAAAGCGGTCTCTTACGGCAGGCTTCAAGTACTTGCCTACCAGCATGCAAGCATCCTTGTCTGAGGAAAGTCGAAATTGCAGCACAGTACTGTACAAGCTATGACAGCTGGAAATGCATCACGCATGTGCTGCGCATTACATGAAGAACACGAACGCAGATGCTCTGCTGCTGCTGCTGCTGCATGGGCTTTGTAGAGCTCACTTTCTTATTGTAGAGCTTATATATACAGTACATACTCGCATATATCCATGGGTTTTGAGCCCTGGAAATCATGGTCGAGCATCGATTTAGGGCATTGCTCCTGGTAGCAGGCTGCTATGCACATATGCTGTACAACCGACCCTGACGATCGAGGGAAATTCCTCCGAGATTTCCACGGAAACTAATCTTTGAACCTGTCAAGAAAGATTGTGTATGCAAGCTATATACATAAAGTTTATATAGAGCATGATATACTACATGTATAGTATATGAGCAGCTGCCTGCATGATGAGTACCAGTTTGAAGGCGATATATTGTATATTCTGTACAACCTTATATTCTAGCAAGCAGCAGCTTATATAGTTTAACTGGGAAACATATACAGTAAGTATGTACTCCTGTCATACCGTTTACAAGTACTGTATGATATAGTGCTGCATATCATACAGCATATCATGCATGTATATACTAACTTGGCTGCTATAATTGTGATGTCATGCCCTTCTATAATTGCTAAAAGAGATGCTTGGGAATCTCTCCTCTATAGTAAGAGAAAGGCAGTTCCGCTGGTCGGAAAATTAACTCTTTACTAAGTCGGCTGTATTCAAAAGGGGTTTATTTTACTTCAAAATCAAATTGATGACAGAATTTCATTTATTCCTGTAATACTGTACTTTTGAATTGCGAAAAAGTGTTGAGAACTTGACTTCGGAGTTTGGAATCACGCGATGAGCACTGTCCACTTTGCCTACTTGAAATGCACTTGCCCGTCGGCAAGAAGCGGCAGGGATGCAGTTGGATCATTATCATGCCAGAAATTTCGGCGTTAGGTTTATCGTGCCACGCGATCTTGTGGCAATTGCTAGGTTTCACGTGAAGTGTGCTCGGCGGCAGCTTGATTTTATTGAAAGCGGTGATTTCATGGTCAGATTTCGAAGTAAGTGTTGAACTTATTGTGTTTTGACTTTATCGAAGTGAGAATGGCAATCCCCGCAGTCGGCGAATGGATTAAACTTCGTTTCACCAACATCGGCTGAGAAATTCAAAAGGAAAGCCGTCCATAACTACAAGTCATCAATGATGATTTGCGATCGCGACAGTGCGAGTGAAAGCGACTCGAGCTCAGTGGATGGCGGGCCGATTATGATGCCTCCTTCGCCGATTAGTCGAGAGCAACTTCATAAACGGATAGAGTCACTCCAGCAGGCCAATAAAGTTTTGCGGATGGAACTCGAATCAATGAAGCATCGTTTCAAGCAGATGCAAGAGGAGAACAAAAATCTGCGTCAAGCGTCGGTTACAATTGTATGTCTTCTTGATGAAACATTTCGTCTTCAGCATCTCGTGGAATATGTGTTTGTTATGTTTCCAGCAAGCTAGAGCGGAACAAGAAGAGGAATTTATCAGTAATACACTTCTGAAGAAAATTCAGGCGCTGAAGAAGGAGAAGGAAACCCTTGCTTTGAATTACGAGCAGGAAGAAGAGTGTTTGACAAATGATCTGTCAAGGAAACTTAATCAAGTAAGTACTGTACATTACTTCACGTGAATATACAAATCGGAGTTTCGTTTCAACTTTTTTTCAATTCCAGCTAAGGCAAGAAAAAGTTAACTTGGAGGCTACTCTGGAGCAGGAACAGGAATGCTTGGTTAATAAGCTGATGAGAAGAATTGAGCGGTTGGAGGCGGAAACTAATGGAAAACAGCTCACCTTGGAGCAACTTCGACGAGAGAAGGTTGAGCTTGAAAATACTCTTGAACAAGAACAAGAAGCTCTTGTAAATAAGCTGTGGAAGCGAATGGGGAAGTTGGAGTCTGAGAAGAAGTAAGTACAGTATCATGCCTTTAATAAATGTTCGTCCGCATTATAAGAGTTCATTCGACGAATACATTTTTTTAAAGGATTTTGAAGGGTCAGCTTGAAGGTACCAACACTCCAGCTGGAGGCTCTAGCGTAACAAGTCCTGAAAGCCCGAGAGGATCCAGCGTGTCGACCCCTAACAATTGTGAGAATTCGGCAGCAGTAGCTGTGAATTCTAGTCTCAACTCTCCTCACGAAAGACCCTCTCAGATAATGAGACTCCAGAATGAAACTGTAAAATTACGGCAACAGCTGAACAACACTCAGAAAGAACGTGGGTAATGATTTGCGTTTGCTTCGAACCCATTCAAAAATTCTCCTTTTCTTCAGACACGGAAAAAATGCAGTTGCTTGCGTCAGAAGAGAAGCAGATACGCTTGGAGAATATTAATCTTCAGAAGAAACTCGCGTTAGAGCAAGAAAAACGACTGGCACTGTCGAGGCAGTTGTCCGAATCCGAGTCAAGGTTTGTCTGATTTCCCCTTTCAAACGTTTTTTTATTGATTTCAATTTATAATTTAGTTTGGATATGGATGATGATCGACTTTACGACGGTTCTTCTGCGAGTGGGGTCGTTCCTTCGAGGACTCGAACTGGTTCTAGTCCTGTGCCGATTGCCCCCGTATTCCACTCCGGACAAAATCGTCCGTCATCCCCGAATAAAGGTTTGTTAAGGCTTTGAAGTTAGGATCCATCGTGTGTTCATACCATGATCAAAATTTTCTTGCCGAATGTTGCAGGTCTCTTGAATGGTTTGAGGTGCCAAACGTGTTGCCAAATTCTTCCGAGTCGATCCTGTGCACCAGCTCCTTCTCCACCTATGGGACAAACCCAGCAGGTACAGTACTATTCGCTATGGTTTCCGTTTGAAGTTCATCCCATTGATTTCAAGGGAAGATCAATAAGCTGTTCGAAATGGCTTTCTTAATGGACGCACTGTCAATTCTTGATTAAATTTCTCCGAGCTGTGTAAGGCATGCAGTGTAAATTTTTGTTCAGGGCGTCATTTCTGTTGTTGAACTCCGATATGCCCGATATTTATCATGACAATCAGAATTGCGATTAAATATTTTCTTGACACGGAGTAATCAAACAACGTTTTGATCGAAGTAGTTTATGCAATTATCTTCGAATATTGCGAAAAGTAGTTCCACTTCTAAAGCAGAATTGCTCGTTCAGTTGCCGGCGGAAAGTTGTTATTCAGCATATCCGGTATGTGAAGGCTTTTGGTTTTTTTTTGCAATAGTTTAAAATCGTTGAAGGTGGAACTAATTGTGTATCACTTCCAGTTATTATTTGAATTTTTTGTATTTTTCTAGAATCTTCCCGGATTATCAGTTTCCGTGGGTCCGCCAGGAAGCACTTACGGTCTTTCGGACACCCAGTTCGTCAAGCCATGTGTTCGAAGCCCAGGAAATGGTTCTTCACAAGCACCAGCATCGACCAAACCCCGTGTCGGTTTGTCTACCGCCGGAAGTCCGATGCCAATGAAAGATGTTCGCAGTTCCGTTTCTCCGGCACCTTCCCCAATGGACGTGTCCCGTGGAATGGACTCCGAAGACGACGCTCGCAGCTGTGACGGCGACACGGATGATCGTAAACTAAACTAAATTAAGGAAAGATTCGTTTTCGACAACATGAGGAAAAAATTGTGGAGAGTGCCGCCACTCATGTCCGCACGTGTAGCTTGTCTGCCAAATCAAAGCTTTTGCAGTATTCTTTCTTGCAAGTCGAGAAGACGGGACTTGAAGGCATACCATGGTCGTGGTCTAGCGAGACATGACTATATTTTTCATTGTGATTAACATCCTGTTGTGGACTCGTTGTTTCCGATTCTGTTTTTTTTCTATTATCTTTATTGCAGGGCTTTTCAACCTTCATTTCATCGTCCCCCATTCAAGAAAACAGGCAGTGTTGAAATCTAGGGTATCAAGTAACATCAATTGCTTTAATTCGACTAATGGAGACTATAGTTCTTGTGTATCTCATAGTTTCCGCACAACAGACTCCACCTTCTTCTCTGTTCTTTTAAGAATATACCGGTTGAGTCGTTCGGCTACGTTCTCATACCCATCCTTCCACGTTTTACCGTTCAATATTTCAAATTATATTGCCCCTACGAAATTCACGGCTAGCCATAGCCTATGAAGATCTCGTGAACCACCTGTGAAGTGCCTGCGTACCGCCAATGGTATGCATTCCACCGGTTGAGAAGCCCTGAATAATGATTTCAAATTATCCCTTCGTCCGAAGAAAGTGCTATGCAAGGACATATCTTTTTTTTTTTTTTCGTCGAGTCGCGAGCGTGGGGTGTGTGTGTTGCATTCATTACTGCTTATGTTTTGGCAGCGTGCGGATATTTGAAGAGTTCCTATGGTCGCGATGAATATTGATGTGAAGTTTTTCTCAAATGTTTCTTCTGTTCGGCGGCAGAGTCCTGCTTGAGAGGGAAAGATACATCCGAGTTTGTGATACTGATCGAGTGTTCCTTCTGGCATCTCGGTGTATCAGCAGACGATATCTCCTCAATGTGAATTTTTGAACATCCCGCTTTAATATTTTACTCATCACTCGAAGTCGATCCTTGAAAGTGCGAGTGTGTGATGGTAGTGCAGTTTTTGCAAATTTTTTTTTGTTGAAGCAGTGTGACGCTACCGATTGTCCGGATTCCTCCTTCGTTGCCAAAATGAGCTTGACGTATTGCGATCCCGAAAATCCCGTTTGTTTTCGGCATTATATTTGAAAGGCTTTTCGAGACTGGTCAAAACGGGATTTTCACACGGTACTGTATTTCGTCGCGTATTTCTCCGAATTATCGCTGCATTAAATGAATACAGTACTGCCTGTTGGAGTGATGAACCTTTTCACAGTTCAATTTACGTTACTCTGACCCTTTCGAACAGGCAGTCCCAATGGAATTTTCGCTTCTCACAGTACTGCACTAATTTTCATCTGATGTTGGCTCTTGCATTCTAAAAACAGCCTATACAATACTTCTGTGGATTGAAAACAGAAGCAAATCCGAGTCTGAAAAGAATCGAGGCTGTCTAATTGTTCTGAATTTTCGTGGTCTCCTGTAATTCAATAGTATAAATTACAGTATTTGATTGATAGATTTTGATGGACTAAATCACGACTGTTGACTTGGGTACTGGTGTACAGTACTAAACTTCAGAATGGTTACTCGCAGTTAGGTTTATCCCGCCTTCACGTTTTACTCTATTAATCTACTTAATCTCGACAACTTTCCTTGTGTTTTAAAGTTATTTTTCCCTAACTACCGGGAAGTACGAGTCTCTATCCCGTGACGGTTCCATGATGAATTTATGAGGGAAGCCGTAAAATGTCGTGTTGGCTTGTGGCCTTGTGTGGATTCGTAATCTTTGAGTTGTACTATTTCTTTCGAGGTGCCACGACGGCTTTAATTGGTCAAGTGCGGCGACCGTTGAATATATCTGATGAGGCCAACTTGTATGGTAGGGTTGTTGTTTTTCTGAAAAGCTTAGACCTGGAGAAAAAAAAATATTCTGAGTTTTCTCAGGCATATGTACGCTCAACGATGTGGATTTTTTCGGCAACCACATGAACAACGCGCGTTTTCTCAGGGAATTGGACTTCGCCAGGATTGACTTTTTTGTTCGTTTGGGGGCATTGAGGATTATTCGGGCTGCAGGAAACACGGTGTGGGTTGGCGCATCCACCATACGATACCGGAAACCGATTTACCTGTTCTCTCCCTATCGAATCCGAACGAGAGTAAGCATTTTCCAAGTTTCTAGCTGCATTCTTCTCTGAAGAAAATTTATGTCCGAAGTTTCCGTAGCGCGTATGACGCAAAGGTCGTGGTTGAACGCATGATTTCTTATGCTAGGCGTAATTCTGTTAGCTGTGATGATTGACGAATCATGCAGAATTGATGAACTTAAGACTAATGTCAGTAAAGCTCGCCGTAGCCTGTTATTGAAAAGAATCTCAAATGTGAAAATATCGATTCGTGGAACGGCGCAGTTTCCCACGAAAATCTGCTCCTACTCGATCTTCGGATTCCTCGAAGTACAGTATTATAAATTTCGGAAAGATCCCCTTTCCGCTTTGAGAGGAGACGATTGTTGTCGATCAGCTGTGCGCTCAATATTTCAAGTTGGCGGTTTACTTCACTGGAAAGCTTATTCATTTATGCGCTTTCAGAAGTTACGAAGCTTAACAATCAGGGTTCATACTTGAGGGAAAAGTACAGTATTGCTCTTCGATGTGTATTTCCTCGTTCAAACTATAGAGGCATCAGATTTCAGTTGGTATTGTAGCCACCATATTCATGAATTCGTCGCGATTTATGCCATGATTTTTCACAGATCGCTCACTGGGACAGCCACGACGTGTACTTGTCCCACAGATTTGAATCTCTGAACGGTTTCGTCCATGCCATCGGATATTCGAAACTGGTTATCCCGAAGGTGGAAATCCCCGAATTGATCAATAGGGCTTCACTCGGTCCAGTAGATATCCCGGTTCCTGACGAAGCACTGAAAGCTTGGATCGCCTACTTGAATTCCGACAGGCAGCAATTGTACGACGAGCTCGGGCATCAGCCCGAGAAGTCGAAAGTAAATGATACGAATGCCGTTGCGTCGTAGAAGCGACGGTCAGTTGTACCGGGTGTGCAACTGACTTGCAGAAAAAAGTGAGACCTTGTTTATGTAGCGAGCGAGAAGATGCAATTTTTGGTATCTCAAGTACCGAAAATCATTTGTCATACAGAGAATATTGCTAAAGATCTGCTCATTGAATTAAAAAACGGTGGTTTTAGACCCTAAGCGTTCTTTTGTGTGGAAAACGCAGCTTTCGCTTAGGTTTTTTACTCATTTCCCCTCAGCAGTTGAAGCTATCTTAATGAAAAGAAAGTCGCGTGCAGTTCATTTGATACCTTTCTGCCAATATTTCTGAATTCATGGCTATGTTTTCATTGAAATGTTTTAACTGATGAGTTCACGTATTCAGATGATAATTCTTTTAAATTGCCTCTTTTTTTGCTCCACGAACTTGGTAGAATGGAAAACCAGGGAAAGGTCAAGGATGTGTCCCCAACTTTGGTGCTTCTTGGGTTTCTCATTGCCGGTTACCTCGCTAGGCAGCATTATTTTAAAAAAGCGAACCCGAAGAGAGATCGACTATACTGGGAGCCTGTTGCAGAAGTTGCGAAAATATTCGTGTTTCCTCTTTCTTACGGAAATCCGATGAAAGTGGGTGTCGCGAGAGCATCGAAGACAGGGTTTCAGAATGGGAGAAATTACGATGGGTAATTCGATTTTCATGCTGTAGATCATATGTTTGAAATTTGATTACAGTACTTCATTTTGATTTTCTAGAATGTTTAATGTGATGGATGACGAGCTGCGAATTGTGTCCCACGAATCTCTCCCACGGATTGCTTTGATTTCGTGTCGAATGGTCAAGGAGGCCATTGTCGAGTTGAAAGCGCCTTCGATGAAAAATATCAGAATTGCCTTTTCACTTGATGGAGTTTTACCGACTCAAGTATGGTATGCAAAACACATTTATCCGCTATGCCTGAGTGCAACACCATTCTGATGCTATGTCACGAAGCAGCCTATTTTCTGGCTTCATGAGCGGAATAAAATGAATTTATGAAGGTTGAGGAAGGACAACATAATTATTGTTCCATGAGGGCAATTATAATTTGACTCGATGAGAAAATCCTGTGCTTACTGTATGTAAAATGTATGAAATTTCCGTTCGTAATTCTCAGGAGGCTTATATGTCACTGCATATGCAGTATTTCAAAGCGAAACTTCTCATTTTATTTTCGTGCAGCGAATCCTAGACGAATGGCGAAATTAGTGTGAAAATTGTTTGAGTCTACGAAAATTTCATGAAACGTCGGGTCCGCAGAAAATTTTTGGGAAGTTTGCCGGTCTGCAAAACATTATATGGAAATCCGCAGGTTTGTGGTCTCAAAAAGGTTGGGGAACACTACTGGTCTATACACTAGAAAGCATATATAGACGCAAAAATCCCGACCTTTACCCGTTCTTTAATTTTTGTAGTTCTTGAAATCTCTTTTTTCTCTTAAGCCAAACAGAAGGAGATACAAGTCCTTCCTTTTGCTCTCTCGATCGATGCAATTGTCAGCTTACTCCGTGAGAAATTATTGCGGTAGACTTTCCTTGACTCAAGATTTTTCCGGAGCATCCATTGTAATTCGTTCTCAGGCACGATGAGGCGTCATTCAACGTAATTGACCTGGGGGATGAGGCTTCCCATTGGATTACGGAGTTTCTGCTCTACAAAGATGATCAGGATGTTCAAGCCTGGGGTACGCTTCGTGTGGCGTATGTTTTACCCCTATCTCCGAAACCTGATGAGCTGAAAGGCTTCGCGATGAAGGACTCATCAAGACGCACTTCAAAGGATAAGCGACTGAAACTCACGCTTGTGTCCGAAGCGAGCGTGGATCATCTAAATTATAAACTCTCGAATAAGATGCTACGAACAGTTTTGTATCGAAACTTCCATCCCAGCATCGTCGTGCGAAAAAGCGAGGCGTATGCTGAAGAAAACTGGGATATCATTAAAATCGGTGATGTTATATTTTCGGCGTCGCCTTGTCCCAGATCCTTTGTTCTTCCGAAGGCCCCTGATGCTGGGGAGACGTCAGTGGGATTCGAAACTTTGAGAACTCTCAGAGAGTAAGCAAAACCTGAATGTATACTCTTGAATGTACATAATTCTTCCTGTGTTTTCTGGGGTGTGTTTGCTGCCGAAGGTATCGCCCTGTGCATCGAATCGAAGCGGAAGATGAGATCAAAGATCCTCTCTTTGGCATTGAGCTGAACGTGCTGAAAATAGGAGCTGTTTCAGTTGGGGATGTAGTTTTTGGTGCTAGAACGAAGTTGTTTTAAGTGGAGAAATTAGTGTACTGCATTTCTTGTTTGCGTGTGTATATTTTCAGCGTTTTTCTTTTTCGATACCTTTTTTTCAACAACTCTGAACGTTCAAATTTCTTTCTCATTTCAGCCTATTTACTGTACTGTACAGTACTTTTGATATTGACGGTATGCCTATTCTGTTCACTGAATTATGACGACAGCAGAATAAAAATGCAGCATTACCAGGATTCCTGAAATTTCACTCCCGAGATGTACGTCCGATAATTTTGAATACTTGTATTCGAAATAAGCAAAAAACCTGTTGCAAGAATATTTCTTGAAAATTGAAATGCAGTCCAGTATGCGTTCAAGATACTGTACTGTATTTGGGATTTTACCGAACTACATATCCTGTATGTCTTAGACTTCTGATTTTTTGTTCTATGCAGAAACATGGCGCCTTCCATTTCGGCATTCAGCACACTGAGCACTGCGGTCAACCTACTGCAGTCGAACATGGTGGTCGCTCAGAATCTCCTATGAATTCCTTGCCTGGATGTGATCCATTAGCGGAATTTTCGGTGAGAATTCTGTAGACGATATATTCTTTGTCGCTATGAAGAAACGGCTTGCAGGCGTATTTTCGGCGATGCGCATTATACGATTCACGAGATTTCGAACTATTCGTTTCAGAATATCGAAGTTCTAGAATTTTCGCCGAGTTTATCTGTTTCTTTCGCACTCAGCTAATTGTCGCGATTTTTCATTCGGATTGCTCGTTGCAAGTGTGTCTATATGTCGCGGATCTGACAGAACTGAGTGTACCTTCCCATTCATCTGTGTCGTGTAGATTTCTGTTTCGTGATTTTGTTGGGTTTCATCATCCGAAAAGAACGGCCCTAGAAGGCGGTATTACATTTTTGAAGAGTTTCATTGAAGTTTAGAGTTCTTCGTGATGGCGGCGACGCTTCAGCCTTATTTAAATGCTGTGAGGCATACCCTTACTGCAGCCATTTGTGTCGGTGATTTTTCATCCCAAGTCGTCGAGCGACACAACAAGCCAGAAGTGGAAGTGAAGACATGCAAGGAGCTCCTTTTGAACCCTGTGATTATCAGCCGAAACGAGCGGGAGAAAGTCTTGATTGAGGCATCCGTGAATTCTGTACGCGTCAGTATCGCTATTAAACAAGCTGACGACATCGAAAAAATTCTGTGTCACAAGTTCATGAGATTCATGATGATGAGAGCGGAGAACTTCACAATTCTTCGACGGAAGCCTGTGCAGGTATTCCTTAAAATTCTGGAAATGAGTTTCTTCATCTCATGTTTGCATTCTTTCTAGGGTTACGATGTTAGTTTTTTGATTACGAATTTTCACACGGAGCAAATGTACAAACACAAGCTCGTGGATTTTGTTATACACTTCATGGAGGAGATCGATAAAGAAATTTCCGAAATGAAGTTGTCAGTGAACGCGAGGGCAAGAATTTGTGCTGAGGAATTTTTAAAGCGGGTAAGCCGCATCAATAATTATCTTGAAAATGTTTCTTGTACGGATTCGTGTTCCTCTTTCAGTTTTAATCGGCACGAAGACGACGATTTTTTTTTGTCTGCGACGGAGTTTTCCACGCTCGTGGATTCCGGGACCAAGATCGATAGCCCGGTTAATACCCAGTGCCAGATCCGCTTTTTGTCGTGATTGAATGATTCATGATGGAGATATATTTAATTTCTTGGGAAATTTTCGTTTCTTGTTGAAACAACACTGGAAACCTCAGTCGTTTCGAAATTTATTACGAAAGTTTTTTCGATTCCATGTGTTGAGCTTTGCACATCTTGTGAAATTTGTTATCCATTGTTGTGAGCTTCGGATTTCAAGCGAAGGTTTTCTTCTCATGTTATTCGGTGCCGTTAGTTGGACATGAGGCGTCAGTGTATGATGAAGACTTCCTGCGGATCTTTTTTCAGTTATATATAGTATTGAAAAATAAAATTTCATGCTGCAGTTTTGCTGCGCCTGGCTTCCACGTGATAGCCGTTTGTTCCAGAGGTCTGATCAAAACTTACCGTATTTATTTTGTACAGCTGCGAAAAAATAACCCATATGTAAAAGTTACGGAAACTTCCTTCGTCTTTGATAATATTTACCGTGATCGGCTACTGTGAAAAAACCCCTTCCCGTATCAACTGAAGATGGCCGACCGCGACAGTGCGAGCGAAAGTGATTCTAGTTCTGTAGATGGTGGCCCGATCATGATGCCTCCTTCACCGATCAGCAGGGAGCAACTTCACAAACGAATCGAGTCTCTTCAACAAGGTAACAAAGTTCTGCGAATGGAACTTGAGTCGATGAAGCATCGCGTCAAGCAACTTCAAGAAGAAAATAAGAGCTTGCGTCAAGCGTCTGTCACGATCGTAGGTTTCATGATCGCATTGTTTTAAAACTGTCACTGACCCGTTTCTGTGCCACAGCAAGCCAGAGCCGAGCAAGAAGAAGAATTCATCAGTAATACTCTCCTGAAGAAAATTCAGGCCTTGAAGAAAGAGAAAGAAACTTTGGCGTTGAATTACGAGCAAGAAGAAGAATGCTTGACGAATGACCTGTCCCGGAAATTGAATCAGGTGAGTTTTCAAATTAAGTTTGATGTTCGTATGTATTTCATTTTTTTTCCGCAGCTGAGGCAAGAAAAGGTGAATCTTGAAGCTACGCTTGAGCAAGAACAGGAGTGCTTAGTGAACAAGCTCATGAGACGAATTGAACGGCTGGAAGCTGAAACGAATGGAAAGCAGCTCACGTTGGAGCAACTGCGTCGAGAAAAAGTGGAACTTGAAAATACTTTGGAACAAGAACAGGAAGCTTTAGTTCACAAGCTTTGGAAAAAAATGGGGAAGCTTGAATCTGAAAAACGGTACGTTAAATTTTCTCTTTTATACAACGCCGAATGTTGTTTTTCCTTTTCCAAAGCAAGCTTCTTCATCGCTTCTTTATACAACGCTTAATGTTGTTTTCCCGAACATTTTTGGACTCGGGATCGTTGAAACTGAAACGCCCATGTGTATTCTGTTTTTGATTTGTGAAAATGTTGAGTATATGTTTGTCTCACTGTTTTTCACATGCCTGTTTCTAGACTTTTGAAGGGTAAACTTGATGGCATGGATGACAGTAAAAGCGGTCCAAGTTCATCTGAACTTGTCGATCAGCCTGGATCCTCTTCTGGTACGCTTAATCGCCAAACCGAGGAGCTGCCAGTATCGTCCCCAATCGCTGCCCCGCAGTCTCCCCAAGAAAGGCCGTCTCAAATCTTAAAACTTCAGAACGAAGCTGTGAAGCTTCGCCAGCAACTTAACAGCGCCCAGAAAGAACGTGCGTATTGTAATAGTAATTTCATTCATTTTTTTATGTATAATCTTTTCATGCAATTGCCGAATGAAATAGGGGTCTAGTTTTTCTGTCTTGTTTCCCTTGTGTGTTAAATCTACATTGGCCTACAGAGTCGTTCATACACACAACATTTTCTGCAAGTTCATCTGGGATCTCTCTGATTTTTTTGTTTTTGTTTTTATGGAAAGAACTGTTTTACGGAGTTGGGGGTTTGATTAAATTGTGGAATTCTTTTGTATTATGTGGTAGATAATGAAAAAATGCACCTGTTCGCGACTGAGGAAAAGCAGATCCGAATGGATAACGTGACCCTGCAGAAGAAGCTTGCTTTGGAAAAGGAACGAAGGCGTGCGCTTTCAAGACAACTTTCTGAGTCCGAGTCTAGGTGAGAGGAAAAGCATATGTTTCCTCTTGAACCTGTCTATGTGGTGCTGAGAGTATATGATTTCGTTTCAGTTTGGAGATGGATGAAGACCGATATTCAGTCGACGGAAGTACCGGTAGTACTTATCGAACTCGGGCCGGATCCAGTCCTGTGAATTCTGGTGGTGGATCTAGTGTTATTCAGCATCGGCCAGCCTCGCCTAGTAAAAGTACGTTTTCTTTTGTATTTGTCTTTCTTGCACGTGGGAAGAATGATTTTGAATATCTTGATTTTTTTAGGTGCCGGAAGCACTGCCAGGTGTCAAAGCTGTGGTCAACCGATTCCGTACAGGTCGTTCATTCCACCACCTTCGCCGCCGTTAAATGTTCATCAACAGGTCCGTATTATCATCATTATTTATATCACACCTAGTTGTAGTAGAGTACATCCAATTTTTTTTATGAAAAGGGTAGTCAAAAATGAATGTTGAAAAATTTATTTTCAGTATTGATTTCCCTTTCAATAGAATGGTGCATCCTACTATTCCTGAGAATCCATTTAAAGAACGTATCTCTTTTTTTCTTGGGACAAATTTCAGATATTTTGCGAAAAAGTTATTACCATTACCCCTTGTACAATATGCTCAGTCCTGAATCAGGGGAATATCTCCGTGGATTGGCGCATGAAATCTTCTTTTACCCCTAGGAATAGCTGCGAACCACTGTTAGAGATGTCCTGCTTTCAGGCACCTGAAAAATTCCACCGTTTTGATTGCAGGGGTTCGGAGGGATCAGCGTCTCAGTCGGTAGCCAAGGGAATGCAAACGCGGACGTACAGTTCGTGAAGCCGTGTGTGCCGAGTCCTGGAGGTGGTGGGCAACAAGCGGCCCCCGCGTCTAGGTTGCGTCAAATGGCGCCGACTACCGGAAGCCCGATGCCTGTGATGGATTTCCGCAGTTCCGTTTCGCCGGCCCCTTCCCCGATGGACACGTCGCGCGGGATGGACTCTGAGGACGATGCACGCAGCTGTGACGGTGATGTTGAGGAAAGGAAAACTAATTGATTGCGAACGAGGAAAAGGAATTCGTTCGTTTTTTCTTCGGAAAGAACTTTTGGTATCTTATCTCTAATTTCGTCCCGTTTCTTTCTCGTTAATGATGACCCAATCTTGCGACATTGAGTCTCAATCAGAAAAAATGAAAGCCTGCTGGAAATTCAACGACGGACATTGAACTCTGAGCGTTCTGTTTGCGAATGAGGAAGTAATTCCAGTGTGTGATTCTTCTGTTGTCTATTGATCCCTTTTGTTGCTCAACAAAGTTTTTATTTGTGATGATTTTTCAGTCGATGCGATTAGTTTGTTTCAATGTTTTGAGTTGATGATTCGCTTCTGGATGAAGTTTAACGCTGTATTTGATGTTTCGGTACGTATTGAAAGTCCGCGAGTGCGAGCGTGATTCCAGTGTGGGATTAACCACCTCTCTGTAGATGATTCATCGCGTGAGCAAGATTTTATCCGTTATTCGGAAAAAAATGAACTGGAAACATGGGCTTCGAAGTAAGGCACAGATTTCGGTTTTAGATCCTTTTTTTTCATGAAATTTTTAATAATGAAATCAACAGAATTGTTGAAAATTTGCGTCGTATGTTTTTTTGTCCTTGAGCCATCTCGGATTTTTTATTGTTTGATCGGGAATATTTGAACCAGAAAGCTTTGTTTGGCAACATTTACGCTGATCCATTCCCTGTGTGTGCGATTCCTTTAAGTGGAAGGCATTCGTTGTTGGGTTGGATTTAAAAAAAGGAACGAAAGAGAATTGTCGCTTGACCGATGTTTATTCTTAGCAGGTTTGCTTCGCAGCTTAAGTTGTGAAGGAATGAACAAGGTTTGCTGGAAAAACTTGCCTCTGCTGTGGAGATTTTATTCCCGATCGTCTGGAAAAGGGTCGGATTTTTTTTTTCGTCAAAATTTCATCTGATCAGAGTTTTTAATGCTGAAATAAGTGATATTAAGTGGAAGTTGAATTTTCATCCGCAGATTTGCAACACAAAAAAATATCGAAGTACAGTATATTGCCTTATCATTATTTTTGTGCTTGTGCACTGATGAGGGGGTTGTTGGACGCGCCGATGACCAGTGCTGTGAACATTCAAAATGCTTCGGGTGCGAATCGCGTCACGCCGCATCCAATCCAGCCGACGGGGGATCAAGCGGGGCCTTGGATGGGTCAGAACTTCCTTTTCAAGGACCCAACTTTTGTAAAATATTTGGACAATTACGACTACAAGTTCTGCGACGATGCTTCGAAGTATGAGAAGTTGGCGAAAATTGGTCAAGGAACATTCGGGTGAGTGTGTATCTTCATCATTTAGTGATTTCAATTATCGACCTGTTACTTTTTTCCTCTCCTTCAGAGAAGTTTTCAAGGCAAAGAACAAGCAGACGAAGCTAACAGTTGCTTTAAAGAAGGTTCTCATGGAAAATGAGAAGGAAGGCGTGAGTGATCTGTCAAAGAGAATGAGGAGAAAAAACTCAATGATAGTCAGGGTTGAAATTTTGGTTTCCGATCGTTTCGCAGTTCCCGATTACTGCGTTGCGGGAGTTGAAGATTCTTCAGCTGTTGGACCACGAGAACGTGGTGAATCTCATCGAAATCTGTCGCACAAAAGGTATTTTTGTCAAGATTTTCCGAACGGAAGGAGGAGATTGAGTTTGTATCCACTGTATTGCGCGAACAGCGACCCAGTTCAACCGATACAAAAGCACGTTCTTCCTGGTGTTCGAGTTTTGCGAACACGATCTCGCCGGTCTGCTGTCCAACGTAAACGTCAAATTCAACTTGGGGGAGATCAAGAAGGTCATGCAGCAGTTGCTCAACGGTCTTTATTTCATTCATAGCAACAAGGTAAGATCGAAGTAAAATCCGACAGGTTCAGAAGTTTGAAGGAAGTCGTAGACGCAACTTTTTAACCCAACTAATTATTTTGAGTGAAAACCAGCGATATTTTTTTCATTGTTGCTGAGGTGACGCTTTGCTTTCAAAATATTCATGTGTAAGTTTAGAGAGACGCAATTTGCAAATCAGGAGTTGAAAAAAGTAAAAATGTGATCGGAAAGCATGAGGTCGGTTCAACTTGAGAGCTGCCATTTAGAAATCATGAAATATGCTGATCAAGAATGTATATTTAAGCTTTTTTGAACTTGACTACCGAAGATTGCTAGGAGGGTATCTTCTTTTATTTCCACCAAGATAAATTTTAGAGAAATGCATCTGAAATATTGTACTGAACTGTTGTGGAAGCTAAAAAACGTTTCAAACTGGAGGTGATTACAGTCCGTTGAAAGGAGATTGAATCCATAAACTTGCTAGACCGTATTTAAAGTGCTGATCAAAGATTTCCGTGTAATTTTTCGATTTCTACGCAATCTATTGATTGGAGCATTTTTCTTCTCGACCCTGCAGATTTTGCATCGGGACATGAAAGCAGCTAACATCTTGATAACCAAGAAGGGTATTCTCAAGCTGGCCGATTTCGGTTTGGCCAGGCCTTTCTCTATGGGACAGAAGAACCGATACACGAACCGTGTAGTGACCCTTTGGTACAGACCGCCCGAGTTGTTGCTAGGTGATCGAGATTACGGCCCGCCTGTGGACTTGTGGGGGGCTGGGTGTATCATGGCAGAGATGTGGACGAGAAGTCCCATCATGCAAGTGAGTCCAAATTTGTCTGATAATGTAAATCTTGATAAAATGAGGAGCTGCAGGCTGTTACCAACTCATGACTGAGAGTAATTAGTTTTTTAACCTTCCCATACCTTTTATTTTTTTTTTGGACAGAGGTTCATCGTCACGATCATGGTTTCATGACGATTTTATTTCAGTCTGCTAATCGACTTATCGGTACTTAAAAAACTAGATTGGTTAAATAGGTGTGCATTTGACAGATTTTCATTTGCCTTTCCGTCTTTGATTTGCACGGACGCAATTCATCAATTTTCCGCAGGTTTTCAAGCAGATAAGACATATTCTGCTTCTTATAAAATTAGGGTCTTCCAGATTTTTTCGTCTTTTTGGAGTACGCAGATGATGATTTGAAAGTTTTTTTTGTTTTTTTCAATGTAGGGAAACACGGAGCAACATCAGTTGAACCTCATTGTTCACCTCTGCGGCAGTATCACGCCGGAAGTGTGGCCTAACGTGGAGTCCCTCGAATTGTACTCAACCATGGAAATCCCGAAAGGTCAAAAGCGCAAAGTCAGGGATCGTCTGCGCAACTTCGTCAAAGATCACAACGCCCTCGAGTTGCTCGATAAGCTCCTGACTCTGGACCCTGCCAAGCGAATCAATGCGGATGCTTCTTTGGGACACGATTTTTTTTGGCAAGACCCGCTGCCGCAGGACCTGGAGAACATGCTGAAGCAGCACACGCAAAGCATGTTTGAGTACTACACACCGCCGCGACGTCCACGCGGACATCAGCAGCCGCCACATCAACACCAGCAGCCGCATTCGCATGGACACCACCCGCCGCATGGGCACCATCATGGGCCGAGGCATCCCCATCCGCCGCATGCCCGTGGTGCCCCGCACCCACAACAACAGCCCATGGAAGGGTTTCACGAACGGGTTTTCTAAATGGCCTTGTGATGCTAGAGGAGGCGTGTCTCTACCTCCTGTCCGTTCGCGGCTTGTCTCCACAGTGCTTGAAGATTTTGTTGTTGTTTGAAATTTGAATTGGATTATTAAGGTCTGAAAATGCCATCGGAATAAACTGTGTAATCTTTGTGAGCATCTGTTTATTTCTGTCGGTTTGGGAAAATTCCGGTTTTCACCTGCGCCCAAAATTTTCTGGTGAATCTGAGCGTCAGCTGTAGGAAAAAATGTTTGCATGTAGGAAGGAAGACACTGTTTTGCCCTTTTAGAAGCCAAAGCATGAATTTCAGCAAATGTTTAATTATAAATGTTTGCCTACGCATAAGAAAAGTTGAAAATCCTGACATTACAGTATTCAGGTGACTAAACTATATTGAGATGAGAACCAAAGAAAGTTGTAGAAAGCTTATACAGTACTGTATGGAATTCTCGTAGTGGGAAACAGGGAAAATGAGATGTGCATTTCAACAATTCAGACCTAACTATTGAATTGTAGAGGAAATGCCATGCCCATAGAATATTTATATCAAATGACAATGTGGATGGATCAGGTATATTAAGACCTTGCGTTCCAAAGGAGACTTCATTGAAAATACATAAGCACATGCCCATGATGACCAAGCATTCAATCACAGTAAACGGGCCTTAAAGAGGTTGAAAAACAAAGCAGAGACGAACAAGTTGCTGAACTGCTTTTCTAAAGGTTTAAATGATGGGGAACTTACGCGCAGAAGGGTTACACAAACTAGAAAAAATCCCTTCTGTAGTTCTGGCCAAGTTTTAGAAAAAATAAATTCCAATACAAAATTTTGGAGTACCCTCTCCAGGAATTGACATGGATGTTCCTTGATTTATGCTTGAATTTGAAACTGATCCTGAGATGAATTTATTTTCTGGGCAATTCTTAAACCATGAATATGTGTAGTTGCAAATATAATTTCAGTTCTCATGGGCTTACAAAACACTTCGGTTAGGATACTATGCAGTATTCGCCGAATTATTGAGAAATGAAAACATACTCCGAAATGCAGGGCGAGTTCAGCATGGCGGTTGGCGAGTTTGTCCATTGATACTCCACCATTCCTTGAGGTTCACGCTTGCATCTTGATACGTGAAAAGCTGCCGGGCGATTCGCGCTGAGATTTCAGTTCGACGTAAACCAGTCAGTGATTGGGTCATATGGTGTCCATAAGTCGGGGGAACTTCATCGAGTGTGATATCGATTCCAGTGTCCTGACTTGCTATTTTACAGTTCTGCGCGTATTATTTTAACAGGAATTGATTTGGAACAAAATTTATTTTAGAAACATCTACCAAAGAAATGAGGTCGTCGCGATTTTGTGTTTGGTTGACCATCTGTGCTGTATCCGTGGCTGGGGATGGATGGATGAGGTGGGTCTTCGGTGAAGAATCTGAAGATGCACCCTGGGCACGTGTTGATGAACATCGAGATTCATCATCGACGGCATTAGACTTCACCAAGATTACTGCACCTTTCGAAATTCAGCGTGAGGACCCTTTTTTGAATGAAGTTGAGAAGTATACCGGACTCAAAATGTCAGAACTGGATCGCTGCCAGCATCAAGTAAGTATCAATGGAATACCTCTAGAACTGAAGATTGAAGAATTGTTTCTCCCCCAGATCATTTATGATTTGAAGACTACGTGTACGCGGATGAGTGAAGAAGAGATAGCGAAAATGGGCGTTCAGCTTTTGAACTGTCAGTCGCGGGTGGAAGGCCGGAAGGAGTATCCATGCTACGAAGAAATGGTGTGGTTTATTGGCATGCGTGTCTTGGGATTTAAAATATGCAGTGGTAATATTTTTTGGCTTTCGACAGACCCTGAGAGATTGTACCCAAAAGATGGATGACAACGCGTGGAACGCATACCATTTGATGTCAAACCGAGCGAGGGCAGTTTGCTATGCGGCACGGCAGCAGCAATTCGCGGTCAAGACAGAACTTACCGTCAATCGTCTTGTTCAGTCCACTGAGGAGCACGTGGAAGGATTGAAGAGTATTAAGGTAAGTTACTTCATGAATGATTCGTTCGTGTATCATAGGAATGATTCTTCTAGGAAGGTCAACTCGAACTTGGTAGATTAACTTCCGACACACTGGAAGAAGTTTCACGGGGGCACGAAGCTCTTGCTGTTAAGCAGAATCAACTTAAAGACGCCCAACTTAGCATTCAGGGGTTCGTGTCGGAAAATCTGCGAGAATTGAGCAAGGAAAAGATGCTCATTGCTGCTGTTCAAGCTGAACTTGGACTCATGAAAGATTCTATCAAGTCGCATCTTGGTGAGTTTTTTTTTGTTTCAATTTTTCTGAGCTGAATTATATTCCAGCTTTCAAAATCTCCAGATGAAGCCGCGGAATATCTGGTGAATTTTGAGTCATCGAGACGTGTAGGACACGAGGAAATTCTCCGGGACCTCAACGAGGTGCACATGAAAACAAGGGACGCTTGGGATCGTGTTGGTAAGTGACATTTGCCTGAACAATTGATTTCAAGAATTTTATTTTGAGCATTTGTTGTTCTACAGACGGATTGACGGATCGTATTTTACGTATCCATACGGAAACGTTGGAGAGCTTATCCACGATTAGATCATCCATTGGCTCCCTTCATCGGGTGCTGGAAGATGTCGATTTTCGTGTCAATAAGAAACTGCATTGGTTGAATAGCACCCTGAGTGGTAGGTGAAGGTAGAAACGCCTAGTGGAAGTCGTCGCATGACTTTCTTCTTTTTGAAGTTTTTCAGATGGATGAAGCCGGTCGTCTTGAAGATTTATTTGTTGTCGTATCGCACGTCGCTTATCTTCTTGCCACGGTTTGGTTTGCCTGCTTTTTGAAATTTCCGATGCTTTCAAGAATCTTCATGATCTTGATCATACCACTGAACGCGGCCGCCGCGTTGTCCAACAAGGAGTTGGCATTGGAGTTCCCCTCGTTGACAGCCTTAATAATCATCATGCTTGGAAGTAAGTTTCTAAGTTCGAAAATTGCCATGTACAGTATTTCTATTTATTTTCACTTCGTGTTTTTTTGAAAGGTGAATTATTTGTGAGTTACAAATCTCAAAGTTTCGTGAGAATCGGAAAAGGAGTTGGCGGATGGCTGTCTTCAGAAACATGTCCGGCCGTTACACCTGTTGCAACTGTTGTTCCTGGTAAGTGGAAGGATGAGTGTTGATTCTCTCATCTTCATTCGAGTCGTCTATACTTCAACTTGAGATTTTTTTGCGATACAATCACCAATATATTAAAGTTATTTTCATGGTTATGACGTTGTTGAATATTTTGTGATGGCCATTTCATTTCGATGTGCTGGTATGGTATCAATATTTATGATCTTGCCAGAATATAATGTGTACGTTTATTTGTCTGATTTTTAGCTGCTAGATTTAGCAGGATCGCTGGGGGAGAAGACAATTTGATCTCGGAAGATGAAGATCTTGGCTGTGATCGCAACGATTCTGGTGTGATGAGCCCGCGACGACCTCCAGTGGAGGAGGCGGGTCGTTCTGCTTTGCGCAGGAATGTTAATTTCCCAGCATTTCCCACGTTTTGCTCTACGCCGAGGGCAGATGTCAATGTACAATGGGATAATCCCCCGCCGTTATCTCGTGTTTCAATGATGAATCAAGTCATTCAGAATTCAGGAGGTCATCCGTGTATTCCTCAGGTGATTAATGGGTGAAATTCAGTGTAATGCCGGTTAACTCCATCTGTACCTAGACGAGGGGTGGAAAATTAAGTGATTTTTCTCTTAAGGTATAGTTCCAGAGCAGTTTATAAACTATACGATATTCGATGAAACGAAAGTACTGTACAGGAACCATGCTTAACTTAACGTTCAATGGAGACATGTGTTGTGCATGGAGACCGCTTCCTTTTTTCACTCATGGAAAAATTTTCAATTTTCAGACTCTAGATGTTAGGGCCGCAAAGAGGAGTTTGTTGGACAGGTTGCTGCAAGATCAGAGTGAAATGCAGAACGTTGAAGACGATGTAGAAGAAGAAAATCGAGAGAACTCGGAACAGCGAAATATGCGCTCTCAGACGCCTCTATCAGTTACATCGTCGACCAGAACTGGCCGGTAAGTGTAAAACTTGATTTTATGTTGGTTTCGAGAAATTCCTCTTCGTTATAAGATGAACGATTTCGCCTATTGAAGAATTTTTTGCTGATTTTAGACCTTTTTTTGTACTTCCTGCAGAAGTCGGAGGTCGAACGCAGCGCAGTGTTCTGGCATAAACAAGACTGGGGCCCAGTGCAGGCGATCAGCATCCAACAACACCAATTTTTGTTCTGTGCATCAGCAGTAGCGCCAGATATTGAATTTGAATCTCAACTGAACTTCTAATTCTTTTGCTTTTGAAAATGTTTGTTTTTCCGTTTTCCTCATTTGACGCTGTTCGTCTGATCTAGAACAGTGAACGTCAATGTTGGTTACGAAAGAAATCCGCCGACTGACCATTACGGAAATCCAGTTTTAGAAAACACAGTACAGTACCATTCCGAGCTAAATTCTTGCGTACGAATAATTTTCATGATTTGATGTTTTTAGCTGAAAATTTATCTGAGATCTCTGATGAAAAATTAAAATTCCCTCGAATCACAGAAAAATGTACAATCCGTTTGAGGAAAGAAGTATTTTCGATTGGACGCGTGCGTCGCGGCTGTGACTGATGAGTTTTATCTTCTCGTTGTCTGCTTCGTTCTCACATTCTGAGAAGGTAACAATGGCGTGATTGTGAATTTTGTTAAGTTGGAATATGTGCGAAAATTCCTGAAGGTTTTATATCAAACGATCAAGTATACCTGGCGTTCTCAGGAACCCGTGCAACCGTTCAATTTCTTCATGGTGCTCTTTTTTGCAAAAATTACGTTCCTTCGCGTTTTTTTAAAACAGTATTTCTCTACTTCTCCTGACAGAATGGACGCGTTACTAGAGTGGTTAAACACGTTCGATGCCCTGGCAGAAGATGTTAAAAACCCCTTGAAAGAGAAAGTTGCTGTGGCAAAGGCAGAAAGTGACAATGTGCTATTCGCTTTGGAACGATCCTCCCGCGCTAGTGGGGAAAAATGCAAAGAACAGGCTGCGACCATTGAGCAATTGGAAGATCGAGCTAGAACTGCGGAGGCACGTGCAGCTGCGGCCGAACTCCGAGAAGAAAATCTTAAAGCCCGGACAGAACAGTGAGACCNTTCTTGTATCCTAGCTGTGCCATTTCAAGGCCTTAGGCAGTTTTTGCGAGAATATTTACAGAAATGGTTTCTTCGCTAACTAGTTGAAGTTTTTGTATGTTCTAAACGAGGTTTTGTTATCGAAGCGGACTCGAACTTCTCTTCATTATTGTTTCGGACTCTCATATTGTCAATTACCGTGATTAACATTATTGTCTAGAAGTGAATACAATATTATTTTTGATTGTATTTTATTATTATTATAGATGCAATATTATTGGATATTTTTTAAACATAATTGCAGCTGAATTTGTGTGATAAAAATTTTAATATTCCACCTGTTATGCTCTGACAATGTCTTTTGATTTGTTTAAATTCCAAGGGCATTCGTCGTGCCTTAGCTCGATTTTGAGTCTTACGAATACATAATTCCATCTGATTGCAGATTCCTCTCATGTATGTGCGTGTGAATTGGCTTGCATAAATTCCTCATTTGACCATTAAAGCACGCCCAAAATATGCGCCAGTGCATCTTAGAGAATTAACATGAGAAACACAGTAATACTTTATTGTGAGAAATTTTAAATGGCTGTTAATTTTGAATTAGAATGATTGTTACTGTAATTTCGGACCATGAAATACTCAGCATCATTCCTTCGTGACTTCCGTACATACTTTTTCTCTAATTATTTCATTCCAGATTGTCAGAAGAAGTAAAAGTTTTTGAACAACGCATTCAACTTCGACTCGCTGAGCAAGAAGATCTTGCTGGTTTCTTGGAATCCAAATCCCAGGAAGTGAACAGACTCAGAGAAGAGTTGAAAGCTATGAATGATTCGCTGCGAGATTCTCAGCAGGCGCGCCTCACCGCCCAGATTGAAGCGGAAATGGCGAATGCAAGAGAAGAAGGCTTGAAGGCGGAAATTTCTCGATTGAGGGCGCGTGTTGAAGCTGGTGCAGATCAATTTGCAGAATATCAAATTGAAATGCGGAAGCAACACGACGAGTTGTACGAAAATCTTAGGGAGCAGAAGAACCATGCATTGCGATTGGAGATGAATCTGGAAAACAAAATTGAGGAGGTTTATATTGCATTTTCATCTATGAAGCTGCCAAGAACCTTCTGTAATCAGGAAACTTTTTTTTGTTCGTTTATAGCTGAAGATAGCGCAGAACACCGTTGAAGATTACAAGTCATCAGTTGATGATCAGCGAGAAAAAGTTCGCGACCTTCTGGATCAACTGCACAAAATCCAGGAAAATACTATTGTTTTAGAAACAAATTATAAGTCACAGCTAGATGCCCAGAGGCAGTTGGTTGCTCTGCACGAAGGTTTGTATGGCTGGCAAGGATTTTTTCAGACATTCTTTTCTAAAGTGAAGTAAAATCGTTCCTTAGAAAATGCTCGAAGCGCTGATATCCGAGCTCAAGCACTTGAAGAACGAGGAAAACAACTGGACGAATCTTTTGCACGAGCGAGTGAAGAGCATTATGCAGAAGTTGAGGCATTGGTGAATTCCTGTCAAGAAATCAAAAGCGTTGTTGCGGAGCGTGAAGAAACGATTGAAGCCATGCGAAGAGATCTCGAGCATGCCCACAAACTGATCGAAAAATTTGAAAAGCATGGTAAGTCTACTTCTTTCTTTTTCACAGTAAGGTTCGATTGCTTCATTGAAATGATCATGTTTCTTATTGTTTTCTTCTGGAATTCATTCTAGGTGTCAGCGATGAATCCCTATCAAAGCTGAGTCCAGCCGCTGCGGCAGCCACGAAATTTGTGAAAAGTGGGCTCACGTTGACAGGAATGTATTCGCAGTACGTTGCGGCTTCCGAAGAAGCCCAGCGCTTACTGACAGAAAATGAAGAACTGAAATTGAAGTTGGAACATTTAGCGAACGAAATTAGAGCCCGAGCGCCGGCCTGGAAGCAGGAGCGGGAAAGAGCCGACGAAACCCGGATCATTGTGAAAACTTTGACCGGAAAGCTTTCCGATGCTTCGAAAGAATGTCAAGCTTTGCGATTCCAGTTGATCGATGCCAAGAGTGTTTCAGAAAAGCTTCGCCATGATGCCGAGGTTCGAAAGGGGCTTCAAACCATAGCTTTTAGAGTTTTAACCTAACTTTTTGAAGCATTGCACCTTGAAAGAATAAATACCAAAAGAGCAAGCAGCCATCTCATAATAATATAACCTATCGTTTAAGTACGCAATTTCGGTACAGTATTCGGTACGTTTGAATCTAACGCGTCTATTAATTGATCTTGAAAAGTGTATAATGAACATTTACTACGGGCATTATTTAGGTTCGGAATGCGACGATGAAAGATTTGAGAAGTCAAATCACGACATTGACGGTTGAGTTGGAGAAACTTCGCGGCAACAAGCGAGGAATATTGACGCCTGAAAACGATGCAAATAATTTGGTAACCTTCAAAAGCGTGGAAGAATTACAAGTGAAAAATGAACAATTGCTAACAAAGCTGCGAGCCGTGGAAACCGAGCTGGAAACGTATAAGCGGGAAACGGACGAGAAGATCAATGCGGAAATGAAGGCAAGTACTCAATCATTTACATCCATGAAACGACAATTTAATGATCTTTTTTATTGCTCGCAGAAAATGTATGCAGAGGCAGAAAAAGAGCTTACCGATCTCCGAGAAGGTCGGGAACGTAGTTCAAAAATATTGGAAAATCTCCGCCTCCAACGGGATATGTACAAAGGAATTTCTGATCGTTGCTCGTGTGACGGCAATGCCGGAATTCGAGTCCCTCCTGGGATGGGGTCAACACCATCTACACCTCTCAATCAGTCACGTTCCAGACTCTCCAACACCTCCATTCATGCATCTCCCAGAATTTCTGTAAATGCTGACGAGCGGCGAGACTTCGAAGATAGATTAAAAACAACAAACGAAGGTTTCGAGACCTTCAAGAAGGAACATGAGTTGCTGAAGGTGGAACTCAGCACAAACGCCAAGCTCTTGATGGAAGAAAACTCACAGTTGAAGGAAAAAGTTGATAAGCTCAGGTAAAAATCTTGGACTGAACCCGCTTGTTCGTGAATGTTTCATAACTGATATGGATCTATTGTTTTCAGGCACGAGAGTATCAAAAGCAGAATGGAAATGGAAAGCAGTGTGGAGCGTTTGAACGTAGCGAAGACGAACATGGACATGTATAAAAAGCAGCTGAATGGCGCTGAAGAAATGAGTAAAAGAATGAACCTGACAATGGCGAAGCTGGAGCATACTCTGGAAGAAGTCAGAGAGGTAAGGAAATTATCTCAATTTCGAAACACTGTAATTACGTACCTAGGGTTAATAAACAAAAAAGCTCAACATAAATGATAAAAACTGATTTTGTCACGATGGAGCTTCCTTCGTTTTTGCGCCCGAAATTTTTTATGATGCATAACTGATAATTATTCTTCATTTATAAAAAAGGAGTTGTCATCAACCCGCAAGAAGTTGAATGAAAGCGAGCGTAAAGTTCAGAGCATGAACCAGGACCTGTTCAAGTCGCAGTCGGAGATTGATCGCCTCAACAAAACGAACAGTTTGTTGGAAGAGGCGATACACAATCAAGCAGGTGTGATAACGGACCTTCGCGCTTTCCGCGTCGAACTGGAAAGTCGAGAATCCAGCGAGCAGCTTGCGCTCAAGAATACGATTACGAATATCAAGAAAGATTTAGCCGCTGCTGAACGACGAGCAGCCGAGGCTGCCGTTAGTGCGCAAGAGGAAGCCAATGCATTACGCGAAGCTGCTGCGAAAGCCAATGGAGAAGCGAGAAAGAAGCAGGATTGCATTGTGAAGCTGGAGGAAGAAATTGCAAAACTTAACTCCCAAGTAGAAGAAATGCGTAGTGGTCGACTTGTGAGTACAAATCATATTTTTAATATATCCTCGATTTATTTTATTCGGGTATTTCTTGCTTGAAACGGTTTTTTTCTGACGGTGCGACCTTAATTTCTTGAATATCAGACGGACGCCTCTGAATCCTTGAGCTGCAATCTTTTCAAGAGTAAAATCCCCGCCAATAAACGAAATGTTACTAAAGTTGTCCTTATCTCATCAAACCTCAATTGAACCTACTGAAATGAAATAACAATGGGATATTCATCATATATATATATCGGTCATATTGCGTGTTGTTCTTGCAACAAGTAATATACTTTACTTGAGATTGGGCGTTTAAATTAAGGAAAAAACTTGTAGAAGCGCGTTGGGAATTATTTCAACGCCCGAAAAAGAAAAATGAGATTTATACGTTTTAACGGAAAGGATTATCCGGATTAAAAACAAAGGTTGAAAAGATTCCTCCCTGGTGTTAAGCTTTGTTTTTACACGAGATTTTTGTCTTTGCAGGACGTTCCGATTGGCAGCCGCTTGAACTCGGCGCTCGAGGAAAGCCAGTCAGCGACGGATGTGTCGAACAATTTGGCAACGCTCAACTTGCGGCTTCGTGAAGCTGAAGCAGAGCTGCAAGAATCCCGTCTTCGAGTTTTGGCGCTGCAGCGGGAATCCGAAGCGAGCCAGGCTCACGCTGCCGAATACAAACGCATGGCAGCTGGCCTAGAAGACGCTCTTCAGTCTGCCAACAATGCCCTGAAAGCCCAACAGGCTGACACTGCAACTCGCGTGACGGGCTTCGAAGAGCGTGTTCGGGAACTTGAAGAAGCTCGAGCAACTGTAGAAAGTGAAAACGAGTCGCTGAAGGAGGCCCGGAAGTTACTCAATGAACAGCTCGAGTCTTGTGAGATCAGCCGGAAATCCCAGTTGGAACATGCGGATAAAGACAGAGTAGCTGCCGAGTCCCGGGCTGCCAATGCAGAAGCAGCATTGGCTATTGCTACGAAGGATCTCATCGAGCTTCGAAACTCGTGTGCTGAACTCAGTACACGTTTTGCTCACGAATCGTCCAGAAGACAAGAGCTAGAAGCTAGTATTGGCGAAACTCGAAGAGAGCTAGATGCGACAAGAGTCAAGGCCTCGGATTCTGAAAAGGATTTAGAATCCACGAGGAACTTTCTGTCTTCTGTGGAGGAGCAGCTGCAAGAACTGAAGCAGAAGTTCGAGGATGCCAAGCTAGCCAGAGATTCGGAGACTGAGGAAAAACCCGGAAGTGATGGAACCCCTGACTCTGCTGCATCTGTTGGTGCTGGTGCAGAAAGCAAAAGTGGTGCTGGAGACGAAGCAGATGACTCAGCCACACCAGAGCAGTTGAAAAAATTGATCGAGTGAGTTACTGGTTGTTCGAATAGTTACTGTGCTGCAAATATTTAATCGACGGTCCAGGTTTACCTAATGTGTCCATAACTGAAAAAAATGTTCAAGTCGGGTAGATTTCACTGGCAATCGCCTTATCCTCTTGAAATCAAGTTTTATTTGTCGGGAATTTTCCTAGATAAATTAGAATGCAGTACTTCTGATCTTAACGAACGCATATTCAGTATGTTTTAGATGTACAGTAGTGAAAAATTAGGGCCAGTTAACCTCGCATTTGCACGACTTGAAGAATCCCATTTTGTTGTCCCCTTGTTGAATACCAATTCTACTGAACTTCTGCGTGTGCTATTTTAAGAGGTAAAAGCATGTATTATACAGTACTGTACTATAATATAAGAAACTGTCTTACAGCTACTTGAAAAAAGAAAAAGAGCTGAAAAGTGCGAAGCTGCGGACGCAGTCACTAGAGAATACTCGACTGCAGCAAACAGTTGCCAACCTGAAGGCGGAGATGAAAGCTTTGCAGTCTGCACTGGCTGCAGCACGAGTATCTGCAGGATTGAGTTCCGAAGTGGGTCCAAGTGGTTCACCGCGTTCTTCCGGGGGATTGAAGATGATTTCGGTAACCGAGCATGAGGAGGTGTTGAGGAAAGTGCAACTTGCTGCAGCTGTGGAGGATAGCAACCGAATGCTGAGGGATGAACGAGACTCTCTGACGTCAAAATTGAAAGAGACGGAAGCTCGCGTAGTTGACTTGGAAGTTGAACGTGGTCCCAAAAATCTCAAGGTTTGTAGTTTTTGTGAATCATTCGCTTTTGCGATCCGTATAGATGGTATTCATTCGTGATTTAGATTCAAGAGCTGGATACCAAGCTGGGCCATTTGAATGCAGAATGCGAAACTCTGCGAATTGAGGCGAAAAGATGGCAGGAAAGAGCCAATTCCATGATTGAACGCACCCAGAAAGTGAATCCACAAGTAAGTCTGACATGTTTATGGAAGTTTGACGTTTCGCAACATATTCGAAAATTACATTGATGCATGATTTATTCAAGTATCGTCAATGTTGAAGTGAAATAAAAATAACTATTCGTGCGAAGGAAGATAATGTACTGAATTGACTGATTTTAATCAAGCACCAGTTGATCAAGTTGCTGGATACTTTTTCGACCTAACTTAACCAAGACATACGATAATTTTCTTGACGGGAATTTGTGCTTTTCGATTTATCCATGGAAGGATTTAGAAAGATTGGTTTCCGAACGGGACAAGCTTTTCCAGGCTGTGCAAGAGAAAGATAAGCAAATCCAAGAGCGTGACAAGGTACTTGCAGAGAAAGACCGTTTCCTGGTCGAGAAAGAGAAGGAGGCAGTGGAAAGAGACGTTCTTAGTAAAGATCGTGAGAAGATCGGAGCAGAGAGGGATCGGATTTTGGACCTCAATAAAAAGCTGACCGAAGAAATCGAGAACTTGAGATCTTCTGCTAATGAAGCGGAGACCCAGGCCAATGATCTTAGAGGCCAACTTGCACAAGTCAGGCGAGTGGCTCGCAAGTACAAGGAAACCAGCGAATCCCTGAGGAAGGATGTTGATAAGCTGAATAACGAACTGAAACAGGCGAAGGAAGCATTGCAGAAAATTGAGGAAGCGAAGGAAAGTGAAGTCAAGGTTGACCCTGCCGCCGAAGCTAAATTCAACGAAGCTCTCGAAAATATCTCCAGGCTAGAAGGCCTCATCAAAGAAAAGGTAATTACCTGTATTGAGGCGCGCAGAAGGGTTTTTCAGTTGGACATTTTACTAAATCTTATCCCCGAGTAAGACGCGCACCCCAATTTTTAGTGACTGTAAAACCACAAAATTTCGAACATAAAAACAAAAAACTTCACTCTAGACATGAATTGAACAAAAATCTGATCAATTTTCAACTTTTTCAGTGAAAACAGTTTCATTGTTACATTTGTTCCAAATTTTTCCATTATAATTAGGTATAATGCACACATAACTTCCTAAAACTTCTTGAAAAATTTGTACCCGCTTATGACGCGGACCCCCTTTTTTCTTCTGAAATTTGAGAAAAAAGGTGCGCGGGGTACTCAAGTAAATACGGTATCATTGTTCTGGAAATGTAATTCGGGTGAGATTGAATATTTGGCATAGTTGGAAATTTTTACAGTGTCTTTTTCTATGGTATACAATTTCATGTGGAAGGTTACATTTGGTCTGCAGTCCATTTTTGCTTACATATTTTTCCCTCTTCTCTTTTTTTTCAGGATAATCAGCAAACGAAGGCGAGGGAGACTTTGGAATTGGCTCGTTCCCGTCTGAAGCTAGTGACTGAACAAAAAAATGTCCTTCAAAAGGCGCTACAAAACTCCAATGTCCCAGCTCCGTCTCTTCCAAGTGTTCCATCAATTTCCGATGCCGACTGTGCTGCCTTATTGGGATTGAACCCTGAACCATGGCTTGCACAACTTGCGGAATTGCGATCGGAAAAAGAAGCTTTATTGAAAGAAATTGATTTGTTGAAGATGAAGATTAGTGCTGCCGCCGCCTCACTTCCCGCACCAAACTCGGGTTCTGGAGCCTCTGGAAGTTCTACGTTGAGGAGCTGCATTGAGGTTTGTCTTTTATTTTGTAATAAGGAGAAGGGTTTTCTATAAAATAAAGAAAAAAGTTGTACCTTGTTGCATTTTTCCCGGAAACGACACTGAAGTTTAATCATAGCTAGTAAAATATTAATGGAAGCAAAGTGCACGATTTTCAATGAATTCAAAATATTGGAAATTTTTCTAAAGGTCCAACCGCAAATGCAGCAACCTCAGGCGTCAATGGTTGCATCTATTTCACGAATGACTCCCACTGCGTCGATTCGTCCACTGAGATCGGAATCCGGCCCAACACCCACCACGAACACCCCAACTTCGATGCCCATTACCGGCGTGGTTTTGCCTACGATCGCAGTAGCGGAGAATTCAGCGTCTTCGTCATCAGATCAACCTGAGGAAACGGAAGTACATCCGCTACCTCCGCTGTCTGCTGTGACGTCTTCTTCCTCTTCCGTGGGCAACGTTGCTATGATTTCACCAAACCTCTCGCGTGGTCCAGTTGCCTCAGACCCTGGAGCCGGCCCGAGTAACGTTGGTTCTTCATCGCCAAAGCCTAAAACGAGGAAACGGGAGTTGGATACGACTTTTGCCGCCACGACGACGTCAATGGGTGATCCCAGCAAGCGGACGAGGGTTGAGATTGGACCGTTCGAGATGGTGCCAGTCGACAGCGATATCATTCCAGAAGGTACAAACTGCGCTCCAATGGTGCATGTTTTGTTGTTGCTTCAAGTGGAATGAATATTTCACTCGAATCTAATTTGGAATCATATCGTATCCCGTTTCCACCAGTAGTGCTCAGTAAAGAATAGAGCGAATAAGTGAAATTTGAAATTCTATCTCCGTTAATTGCAATATACGCTCGAAGTTGTCCCTATTTATATCCGTCTATGTTGGCATGTTTCAACGTGTAAATAATTGAATAAACCCTATTTTTTGTCTTGGGAAAATATGAAGACCCGTCTTTTTTGTGGAAAATTATGTAAAAATAATTCACTTGCCTGTTCATTGCGTCGTGACATTGCCAGCTGCATTTTTCTTGATTTTTTGCCCAGCTTGTGGATTAGATTATACAGTACTTAATTTTATCCCTATTACAAAAGTTGATACCTCAACTATGATCATGTTGAATAAAGGGGAATCTATATTAGTTGAAGAGGATGCGGAAGACAGCATGGATGCAGAAGCTGGAAATTTGGAAGGTGATGAAGATGATGGCGAAGTCTTAAATGAGGAAGAAGACGAAGAGCTGAATCAGGCCGTCACGGGAGAAGTTGCTGAAGTTCCCGAAGAATCACAAGTGGACCCTGTGCCTGGAAGTTCTAGTGGAATGAGCTCAAGTAATGATTCCACCACAGGACGGAGGTGTATATTATTACCAAGGTTAGTGGTATTTCTCGGATTGATTGCATTTTCGCGACAATCAGATTTGGAAAGTCCGAGCACAAACTTCATATATTTTTTTAATTTCTGCTCTACCTTCCGCATTTTAAATGGTATAATGTCTGAATGCAATAAGTCTGATTATCTGAACGAATTACTCGTATTGGATTCCTTTGCACGGGTAATCGAATTTCAAATTGTTTATGGAAGCGGATCCAAGAAATTCAGAAATGACCTGAAAATATTGAAATTCCTGTGAGCGTAGAGGTACAGTGCATAAGTCTGAACTGTTATTCTATTGGAGGGCAAAAAAGCGCTCAAATTGAAATTTAAAGTCAAAGCTGCGTTGTTTTTCGCTTTTTCCTCGAATGCTTTCATATTGGCCCTTATGAACAGGCTAAATGAAGTTCTATTTTAAAATTTAATGTTGACCACATACGAAATTTTGTCTGGATTATTTATGCAGTTGTAAGTGGATGCCCAGAAATTCAAATTTTGTATCAGATTTTTAGAAAATTGCAATTTGAAATCGGAGCGAAGTTTCCCAGCGAAATTAAGAAAGATCAGAATATAACCTGAATATGAGTCCTGGTGAGAGTCAGACTTAGATCTGTCTTATTTCAAGGAAACACATATCAACAGTTCTCTTCATGTCGCATAATTTTTAATAATCGCATTTTTTTTTAAATTATTGGTCTAGATCTGCTGGCGTGTCGAGCATTCGCTCCCAGCAACCAGCCGCACAGAACGTGCTACAAACGTCGTCGTTCATGCAGTCAACATTCGAAGAGGGCGATGATGGCATTGTGCCTAGTACACCGACTTTATGCCCAAGCCGAGGAATTACGGAAGCTGAGGCATCTTCCTCCGTTCCTGTGGATGTGCCTCCGTCATCGCAGTTCATGTTTTCGGGACGAGCTGGTGTAACTGCTGCAGCGTCTCCTGCATCAGCTGTCGGAGGACATTTGGACGACACCAGGGTGGATTTATTCGAGGGCGGAAACGTTGAAGCTCAGGTTTGAACTTATATTGCTTTATTGGTCGGGAAAACCGCGAAGATTACTATAAATTCTGTTTCTACCTGTAGATTTTTCGTTCTTGTTCAGCACAAAATAATTTCCTCCACTGTAACGGATACCCGATTCAGGAAACTTTAGATACGTCTCGAAGCATGTTCTGAAACTTGCAAAAACAAGTTAAAATCCAACTTGGAGTTCTGAAGTAAAAAAAAAAAAACTCCAAAAATAGAAAATCCTGATAATCTTTTCTTTCTGCGCTCGTATTGTAGAAGACATTCGTCTGTCTTTCAAGTTTTTGCATGACTTACTTGTATTTGTGTTTGTGAGTTTGGATAATGGAAAGTTGCTTTCAAATTCTCCACCGAGAAATATTAGAATTATCAACCAAATTTTTCATAGCATGCTTCTTCTATGTGTTCAACCCCCCTTAGCCACGTTCGATGTGTTAGAACACAAGGAAAAATTGAAAACTTGCCCGTTAAAAGTTGCAATGCTCCAAATCAAATAAATCCGATTCTGCATTAATCAGTCATTTTTGCGATGCTTGTGAGAAATCATGTAGTTTGAAATTTGACAGAAAAAATTTCAAAGGCGAACTCAATAGCATTTTCGTGCGGCTTGTTAAAAAAGAATAACGAAAAATTTTACCTAATAAGGAAATACGGCGTATCACTTTTTCTTGGAACTTGAAAAAAATCAGCAAGCCCTGCACGTTTTATGCTAGTGGAAATTTTCATTGTTTTTTTTTCTCTGGCAAAAATTATGGAGCGTGGCAATAAGTACTGGTCGACGAGCAGCGTGACGAAATGAAATCTTTGATAATTTTTTTGGGATCTATCATGTATCAACAAGATTTAAAAATGATGCAATTTGCTTTCAGGAACCGGAGCAACAGTCGGAGAGAACCACGGAAGATCCGCCGGCTCAACGTTTAATGTCGTCGTCATTGCAGCACCCCCAAGCGCCGCAGCAGCAACAGCAACCACCGCCACCACAACAGCAACAGCAACAACAACAAATATTACAACAAATCCAGCAACAGTCGGCAGATGCAGGACGAAGGGTGATTTCTATGACGCCTCGTCCATTCATGGAGCATCCTCCACCACCGATACACTTCCGAAGCATGCCACCGCATCCTGCGATGCAACAAATGCCAATTCAGTATCGGCGAGGCATTTATGAGCGTGGGTCCATGCGAGGCCAAAGAAGACCGTATAGGAATTTTCCCAAGGGTCCTTGAAAAAAAATTGAGATTTATGACCGTCGTTCGATGCGAGGAGAGAGCTGACCTGTTGTGAAGCATCGGGGCTATCCAAGCGAAAAATCAGTGTTCTATATTCAATCTTCTCATTTTATTTTCTGCGAAAGAAAAAAATACATCTTATATTCGTTCATGAAGCAGCCGTTTGTTACGCTTTGAATCCTCTTCGAGAGCGTGCATAAGTGGTCGTTGCGGAAATGATCTTTTTATTCGCTGCTGCGTTTTCGACTTGTTGCGTGCAAAAGATCGCTGCATAGACCGTTTTTTAAAATGAACTTTTCAAGAGGAAGAAATTTCGTGAGAAATCTTGTGATTTTTTGTGTTTCGTCGTTGTCCTCATTATTTCGTCAAATTCGGGTCTTTTAAATCGCAGGAATTTTCAGAGTATGTTTGTTTTGTGGATTTGAACAATTCAATTTTGAAATCTTCTTCTCCTGCGAGTTGTGTGAGACTTCGCAAAATCTCCAGTTGATTGGTTGAGTAAAGTTTGACTGAAAGCTTACCGGGAAGAAATTCATTTCATGCTGAGTCAAAACGGGAGAATTTCCATGATGCGTGATTGAAATTTTCGTATTTTCCTCGACAGGATGGCGTATGGCAATTTCCCCGATTATTACAAATTTAATCCTGCGGAGAATAGGATGAACGCTTTACGCTCGGGAAGTGACATTTTGAAGAAGTTGATGGAAGATCTCAAGCATGAAGAATTTCTGGTTTTGGATATCGGCTGCAACTCCGGTGTGAGCGCTAGAATTATTGTTTTTCCGCCTTTCTTTATTTGCCGATTTTCCTCCACACAAGGAATTAACTGTGGAATTCGGGGTTTTCTTGGCATCATTGCTTCCCGAAACTTGCCGGGTTGTGATCTTGGCGTTGGAAAAAGATGCACATCTTGTTGAAAAATCAAAACCTCTGCTGTCAGGAAACACAAGTGAAAAATTGAGCGTGGTTGTCGAGTTGGCCGACGTGATGAATTTTCCGGAAACCGAGTCTTTACTGAAATCGTTTCTCCAAGGAAGAAACGAAGAAAGATTTCACTTGACCACGTGCTTTTCTGTGCTAATGTGGATTCATCTCGTTCACGACGATTCTGGACTGGAAAAATTGCTGAATTTTCTGGGGAATTACTCCGAAAATTCACTGGTCGAAATTCAACCTTGGAAGTGCTATCAAACGTGAGCTCGTCTTCGATCTTTAAGTTTTCTTGCGCTGAGTGATTGGTACAGTGCTACCATTTTCAAAAATTGCAATATGAAGTTATCATTTCAATAAGCTCTTATGTAATTGCGTAAGCTGCATTATTTGGACGAAGTGAAAAGAAAATATCGGAAAAACATTTATTTTATTTTGAAGGTTCTCTGAATTCGAGACCAATTCCTGCTTTAATGAAATCGTATTGGTAAAAAAAAAAACGTTCTAAATGTCCACAATTTTTTCCAACAGCCAATCGCTACTCGGGACGAGTTATTTCAAACCGTAGTTTTCCTTGCCGTATCTACTGTAGCTGTGAAAGGACTGCAGATTCTTGTAAAGGATGAGCATACAAAATTGAACGTCGGTTAGGTCATTAATATAAGTTTTAAAAATTCACGTAGTTGACAAGGTCAAAATACACGGATGAAAAAGCATGTGGCAAAGTTTTTTGTAGGTAGTCTTATCAGATGGCCAGAATGGGGTGGATATTCGATGTAGAAGTACATTTTAATCTCTAGAATTTTAACAGAATTGAATTATAAAATGAAGTACTTTCCGTGATGATAGTGCAAACCATTCAAGAGGGACCATCAACCACACATTGATGACAGGGCTGTTTTTGGTTTAAAAAATCAGGGCTGCACGCAGAATGCGTCGAGGAAATCAGGAGGAATTCCCACTGATGAAACGATTGAATAGCGGGAAAATCAAGAATCCGCCGAAAGTGGAAAACTTCATCAAGGACTTATGTCGACGAAATTTCCCTTTGGAACGTCCTCTCGGGAAATCAGAGACGTGGGGGAGGACAATTTGCTTGTTCTCGAGGCTTTCATGATTACACTCGTTTTGTGGATAAATGCTTCGATTTTATTCCATATCCGAATAAGTATTTATTGAATACTGTACTGTTATCGGTTTTTCTAATGAAGTGTCCGATTTTCTAACTCGCAAAACCCTTTACTATTTCTGTCGACATCGAACCTGTCGATCACCATGACTTCATTTTTCTCAGAAATAACCAGTTGCATTCTTGGGGAATAGCATCGGATCATTCATTCTGTGATCATTTAATTACGGGATTTAATTATCCGACTAACTCATTCCGAGGAAAATCCCATCCCATCTGTATTAAGAAGATACTGATGAATTTTTAAATATGTGCAGTAACGCGTTGAGCGTAAAAACCACTGTTGGACGATTTTCTCTCGCTGAATTTCGCCAGAACAAGAAACTCTGAATGCACGGTGGGTCAAACAGCTCAAACTGAAAGAAAAGAGTGCCGCACCATACAGTATTTTGCATCTCCTTGTGTAAGTCTGGAGCAAAATCCAAGTTTTGACTCATCACAAAAACGTCTTCCTTTGTTTTCGAGCCCAGATAATTTCGATTACGAAAACTAGAGTTGCTGAAGCCAAGAGAGTCACGTACACCATAAAAATCCCCCTGACCGTGATGAGATCGATTTTCTCCGCCAGAGGATGTTGATTTTGGATCTTCTCCCTTTTGTACCTTTGGACCAGTTTCGTCATGATCCCACTTTCCCTACAGTGTAACGCCATCTTCTCCAACTCTACTCCGTACCTAGTATGCTTTGGGATAATAAAACCCGGCCAGTTAAGCTCAAGACTAGTATCCAGCAATGTAACTTCGTGCGTGTTGCGGGGATCGTTGGCAAATGCGTCGGCTTGTGCCGAAATTTCCGTCTCTGAGTCGATGAAAGCCGCTTTCCCTTGTGCAACGAGCTTCACTCCGAGATACGGTGCTGTTCGCATGACGACTCGTTTTGATTTGAAGTCTCGAAGCGTGCCGTCTGTTTGGTCAAAGAGATACTCCCAATAGCCGTTGTAGTCCCCCATGTAGAGTGGGAGGTTGGACGATTTGAGCTCGTCTAGTGTCTTCATGGGGGAATTCGTTGACCGGGATGCGAGGATGGACGTGACTTCGCCGAGATACGCGTTGGTGATGATGATGGATGCCGCAGAGCCGAAGAGGATCAGGATTTTGGTGCATTTGGCGGACTTGAGAAGGGCTGATGGTTCCAAGCCCAAGCCGATGATAACCTGGAGTTGATTCCAAAAATTGAGTTTTTCTGGCTGAGGAATTATGCATGCATGCAGGAGTGCCTCACGATACGAGAAACGTACTTGAAATATAAAATGTTACAGCAGTGAAATATTTTTTTTTTTTTAGCAAAAAACCTTTTTTACTTGATTACCACCCTCGAGTAACACGTGCACCAGGTTTTCTGGTCCTAAAATCTGAAGAAAATCTTATCCCCAAGTGTGGTGCAAACCCCAATTTTTAGTGACTGTAAAACCACAAAATTTCGAACATAAAAACAAAAAACTTCACTCTAGACATGAATTGAACAAAAATCTGATCAATTTCCCAGGGGTGGTGCAAACCCCCCCCCCCCCCCCCGCCCCATCATTATAGTGACTAGAAAAGGGCGAAGTTCTAAATAAAAAAGCTTAATAATCGAAATCGCATCTTGAATTGATGCCAAATTGAATTGATTTTCCACTGTTTCCAATGAAAATAATTTTTTGTAGAACTTCGTTAAAATTTTCCGTAAGGATCAAGTATTATACGAGCACCCTAAAATTTTGGAAATTACTGGAAGGTGAAATTGTAATGAGTTGGCAGGATGCTGAATTTGAATATTAGTCACTTGTTGGTACTTCCTTTTGAAAAGCATCAAGTTACATTTTATTTATTTTTCTTCTCAATTCTGTCGTCAGATTATATACTGTATAGCCCAATAGCCTCTCGAAATTTGACATATAGAGCTTTGAAGAGAAAGAATTTTAGTTAAGGAGGTCAATACTGCATTAGATAGTTCTAATGAGAATTAAGTCGGGGACGTTAGATTTTTTGACAGCTTGCAAAAATAAATCGTCTGAAGTTTCAGCATCATGAATGAATGCACTGGTGGACTCTGCATCTCTTAATTAACTACGGTAGCGTATACTGTACAGCATTTTTAGATGCAAAATTTCCAAATTTGACTCGGGGTAGTTTTTTGAATTCGGAAATTTTGCTGAAAAAAAGAAATTACCGAAAGGTGAAGTAGGTGATTTTCGGGACTTCAAACTGCTGAATAAAGTAGTTGGAAATTGGAAGAATCCGTTTGTCTGAACCGCGCTAATCTTGCTTGAAATGTTGCATAACAAACGAAAAGAAAACGGAACTTCGCCCGTAAATTTAGCTGACAACCGGAAATTTAATTTTCATCTTGCCCTTACTTGTAAAGTAATCATGCTGGCGTCGCAGTACTTAGTGACAGCATCTTCATTCACTTTTGATTCCTTGCTGATGAAGATGGCTACAGTGAGTACTACGGAAGAGACGAAGAGAGCAAGCCAAACCATTGTGCTGAAAGGCGCAATTAGTGCAGAATGCTTTTCCGTCGCGTGTTTCTGGTACGGAACTGCAATCATGTTTCGTTCCCTGTCAATCGTGACAATTTGCACGAACTGCATCCGGGTTTGCACCAAGTAAAGGAAGCAAGCGACGATTTCTGCCTCTCCTTCCAAGATATCGTGGAACAGGATTGTGGAAGTGCCATTTTTCTCGATGACTCCGACTGCTTCGTATTCACCCTCCTGACTGTTATTGGAAATAAAACGTGAGTCACCCTTTTTAAATTTTTTTCTCTTTTATTTTGAGAAGACATCGTTCATTTTTTCTTCCTCGCGGATTTTTGCCCATTTTGTTAAGGCAAATTTTTGAAGGTCAATCCCGACAATTTTTGGAGATCGTTTCTGGCTCGAGCGAAGTTGAGGATTGTTCGCAACTCCGGGCTAAGTTAAATTTCAGAGGATCGTATTTTAAATTTTAACATGATATCACGTTATAAAAATGAATTCTAAGGCCTTCCCGAAAAATTGGAAGGTGTGTTAGATTCGCGCGTGAACTGTCGAATTGTACTCCTCATTACGTTTCAATTAATTGTTGAAGTAGGAATTTCGGAGGATCAGATTTCATATTATGAAAATGAATTTCAAGGCTGCACCAAAAAGTGGAAAGTGTGTCAGAATGAATAGTAGAAATTTACTTCTAATCACTTCTCGATAAATTTTTGAAGCAGGGATTTCGCGTAACTATTTTTGACAATTCAGTTTTCTGCCCAAACAGCTTCAAAGAAACTGTGTATGAATTCGTTTCGACTGACCTTGAAATGTAGGTTGAGTTAATAATGGGTCGCAGTAGCTGGAAGAAATCCCTGACGAATCCCAGCTTAGTTTTGTCCATCAAATGAGAATCCCCGTAAGTGGGCGGTGGCCGATGAACATGCTTCATCACGAAAACTTCATTCCTCAAATTCTTGGATCGGATTTCTTTCGTTTGCAACGCGGGACACGATGAATTTCCTTTCGAAAAAGCCTCGTTCCTATTGAAACTCACGAAAACCTTGTCGTGTTTTCTAAAGTTCTTGTAGAACCAATCGACTCGAATTTCGGAGGATAGTAAAACATGCATCGAAGGCTCTTTGGCGTTGAGGAAAACGAACCTCAAGTAACGTATCCAGTCTTGGTAATCATGTTCTTGCAGGTTTTCGTCTGTTGCAAAAATTAAGGTCGTGGTTGCTGCTAATAACAAGCGCACAAAGTTTCCTTGAACGTGGATCGTTTCTGGGATCCTTTGCAAACGAATGAAAGGACTGTTTTCTAATGCCATCTCAGTTTGCAGTTGGCAAGAAATGATATCTGCCACTTCGTTTGAACTGATGTGGGAACCGTTATTGTTGTAAGCGGAGTTTGAAATTTGTATTACCGTTGCATCGGGGCTGAATAATTCTTGCATATCGGTTGCTGGGCCTGTTAATTGAGTATCTCGTGTCTTAAAAAATGGTTTATTCAGGTTATAATGTAATCTTCCGTGGGATATGATCAGTCTCCGTCGCGAGGCAAATTCAGAAGTTGTTGAACGCTCGAAAAAGACCCTGAAACCAAATTTAAAATCAACAGAACATTTTCAACGCA